TACAATTTGAAAGGGCTGAAATCAAAGGCCCCTCTGACACATCGATAACAAAGGTATTAAATAAGCCGTCAATAACCCATTTGGCATCCGGATGAGAGGAGTTAGCCAAAAAAAGGAGACCAAGCTTGAATGTTCAAGAGAAACATTGTGGTGAATAACACAAGAGAAATAGATGAAAGAACAATGGTTACAAAAACTCCTAGAGGCCAATATGACGGCCTCTTCTTCGCATATAAAGGCAGCAGAACAGAAATTAAAAGAACAAATAGAATGGTCTCACCGAGGACTTCTCCCAAATTACTTTCGTCAAGCTTGACCGTCTGTGTGGTCATGGAAATACCAACTTCGAATAATGGGTGATGAAAATGAGAGGAGGAGCCGAGGTAGAAAGAGAAAAACGAGAGTCAGATGAAATCAATTCTTAGGGCATCAATCTGCCAACAAAGAATCCGAGACGCCTGCTGAATCCTGTACCCAGGATAATGTTGATACCTCAACATCTCATAAAAAGATCTACTCTTGGTCAATATTAAAGCAGCCAACCACTACCAATGAACCAGTCAAAGAATGGTTCATGTTGATAGATTTATAAATTTTGTGCCAGTTTTTTTAGCTAAACTTCCCTTGCCAATAATGCAAACAATACAAAATATCATGTATACTTGCCGTTGAAAAAAAGTCTGGATTCTCTCACATTTTGCAGTTGAACTGAGAAGTATGCGAATTTCAAAGCACCCTCGAAACATCAAAGAAGGTTAAAGGTACAGGGTCTGGAAGGGCATCAAATGAAGTCAACCTTCGAATGGTTTCATTTCCAAGATCTATTGGAAGAGGATATAGTGTTCTGGAAAACTTTTCTGCCTGCTTGAATTCTCCTCAACCTATGACCAAAAAATTATAATAAAGCCTTTTCAAAAGTATTAGCTGCACACAAAGAAGTAGCTAAAGAAAGTATGAAAGCAGCAGCAATAGAAATAAAAGCAAATGGGGTTTCAAAGTGTTCTGTTTCCCTAGATGGCAGCTGGCAAAGGCACTCAAGCCATCATGGTATTGTAAGCTGCATAAGTGTAGACACTGGAAAATGTATAGACCTGTCAAATTTTTGTGAAGGATGTGCTTATTGGGAAGGTAAACCCAAAGACACAAGGAAATACATTGAATGTCAGGAAAAGCACAAATGTAAAAAAGATCATGATGGCAGTGGAGGGGCTATGGAGCTGATTGGAGCTGCATGTATTTTTCTGAGATCAGAAGCAAATCATGGGCTCTAATATCACAAATATCTTGGTGATGGAGATTCTGCATCATTCAAGAAAGTCAGACAGTTGAAGCCATATGGTGAAGAATGTGGTATTGAGAAGATAGAGTGTGTGGGACATGTCCAAAAGAGATGCGTAGGACGATTGAGGCGTCTCAAGAAATAAAATTATCTGATGGAAGAAGGGTAAAGTTATCTGATGGGAAAGGAATTTCTGGTGTTGGTAGATTAGCAGATAAAACCCATGACACCTTGCAAAATTATTTGGGGTTCGCCATCAGACAGAATGTTGGTAATTTGGAGGCTTCATGGCAAAACTCAAAATAACAACGAGTGTCTCAACAAGTTGGTTTAGGATAGGTGCTCAAAAGAGTATTTTGTTGAGAAGGATGTCATTGAAGATGCTTCTTACAGTGATGTGACTCATTTTAATGATGGGAAAAAATCTGTTTTGAAAATATTTCTGAAAATGATATCCCTGAAATGAAAACTCCTGGAAAATTCACAGAACAGATGTGCAGGACACTTGATTCAAGGCGATTGGTGAAAGCTGGGGAAAAGACAATTGCCAAGTTGAAATCAAGGAGAACAATATTAAGAGCAAAAAGAAAAGGGTTTGCAGACAAGAAAATGATAGAGGAAGGAAACTTGTATGAACCTGGTGGACATTAAACTCTAATTTAACATTGCATGCATCATAAACTTTTGATTTAACTTTGAACACATTTTCCTCACGTTTATGAATTTTTTGAAAATGGTCGCGTTTTGTTGCAGAATATTTTGAAAACCACTTGAGATATTTTTGATGAAATCTTAAAACTGGATAGTAACTGTATGGTACATGGTATTGACAGAATTAATATCTCAGTTTCAAATTTCCTGTTTTTGAAATTTCTATTTAATGAATAACACAGCGATAACGAAAAATTCAGTAAATTGATTGAAAAATTTTCCTGTATGTAAAAATAAAAGAGTGTTCCTCGGAATACTTAGCATTTATGATTGTGAGTAAAAAAGGCCAAGTTTGAACATAATCAGTCTTGCCAATCCAGAAATATATTCTCATGATTATTTGCAATTTTTTCGCAATCGGCAGCCATTTTGAAAAGCTAATTAGCATAATTAATTTGAAATTTTTTAATAGTTGCACTAAAAGTATCGTACCCCTGTATAAATTTCTATGTTTTTTTAGGACCCCCTTACCTTAAAGAAAAAATCCAAAATATCTCAATATCTTCTTAGTCTAAAGGCAAATAATGATCAACTTCTGGTATATCATCATCAGAAAACATTCATCTTGGGGTTTGTATCAGTATCAAAGTCAATTCTTTTCATAGCCAAAGATCTTCTTGTGAGAAATCAGGCTCCCTGCAGTTTTTTGCTGACCTAGAAATTCTCTCAGGATCACACTGAGCTTTTGTTTTCATGCTCGTGGAGGATTCAACAATAGACAGCTTACGATTTTCCAAGACGACGAATCACAGGGGGCCTGTAAACTAGCGCGGTCACATCGTCCCAGTAGTGTCCCATTTTGTTTTCGTTGTTGTTACGAAATCTCACTACAGCGACTCAAAGTCAACATGGCTAACGTAGATCGAGTGAATTAAATTCTCTATGCCTACAATGATGCTGGTCTCATCGATGATGAGGAGTTACTTCTCCTGGCAGATAGAAATGTCCGAAGGAATCCATACTTTCCGTATTGGCATTATGCAAGGTTTGATTTGGAGCAAATGGATGATGACGAATGCAAGGCAGAGTTTCGATTTAGGAAAGAAGATGTTTACACCCTGCTAGATGCAGTTCATCTGCCACCAGAGATTAGAGTCTACAATGGTGTTGTTTTTGACTCTGTTGAAGCTCTCTGTATTCTCCTTCGTCGCCTTTCATATCCTTGCAGATATGGCGATTTAATTCCAAGGTTTGGACGACCAGTTCCCCAGTTGAGCATGATTTCCCATAAAAATTGAGGTGGACTGATTCAAGAATCACATGGAACTTTCAAAGTTGTGGAGCAATGCGAAAAATTCAAAATGAAAGTCATTAATTCAAGCCGAAATCAAATGGGCAATCGTGGGTTTGAAATTGAGCCTGGGTTTCATGATGATCATCTCACTCAACTCGTCAAAAAATTTGATATCTCTATTTTTACTCAGAAATTCCATCCGAAGAAAGGAACAAATTGTAGATTACAAAATCCAAATTTTCTGTGCCACAATGTAGGTTGAAAACTTTTTTTAGTTAAATGTGCATTGAGTTTCTGCATTTTTAGGGGGCCTTTTACCGTGGATGTTGAACTTTTTGATAGCATGAAGATGATTTGGACACAGAATAGGGATAAGCAGAAGGGCACAAACAGATTCATTGAAGCGTGAATTTTGTGGCACATGCACAACAAGTGTTTTTTATATATGCACGCATGCTGACGTGTTCTCACTTGCGGCGAAAAACAAATTCAGTTTCAGTTTGTTTTGACAAGATGGCACAAATCATGATTTTAAGGTGGTCATTAACAGTAAAAAATACTGGTCTTGGTGAGAAACTGCTAATCTGAGATTTTTATGTCAAGTAGTACTTTAATGCTTCAAAATTTGTATGAAAAGAATTTTTTCAAATTATCCTAATCAAAAAAGCCCCAAACAATTAGTTAGTGTGCTTAGCAACCGAAAAGTTTGGTTGCTAGGGTGACAATTTTGGAAGTTTCTCAGGCACCCCACAATGTATTTCGGAAAAAATCCACTCTCAAGTATTCCAAAGGTCTAGTCCGTTTCTACCCACAATTCAGTTCAATTCAATTCAATTGAAAGAACGGAAGAAAAAGCCGAAGCTATTCCAACAGTCCTACATGGCGGAGAAAAAGTTTAGATCTTTAACTCGAAAGAAAAGAAAGAAAGTTTTTTATGGAAAAGGAAATAAAGAATCAGAAAATAGTTTAAATTCACAGCTAGAGTTGGAAAGTTTCACCATTAGCAGTTCGTTGGCTGAGGATGAAGCAGCGGGTGAGCCACGGCCGGGGCCTAGCCATCAACGAAGTGAAATAGAGCTAGCACTTCACCATCATAGCACCCCAGATGACAAAAAAACGAGCAGAAGCCAACATAAACTTGACAATTCATCATTTTTGGAATTTGAAAACAGTATACCACAGCTTACAAGAAGTGCTCGGGTAAATCTTGGACTGAAAACCCCAACAATTGAGGAAGCCCATGGCTATAAATTACAGGACTTCACACTGCTGCAGCAATTTTTGAACAAAGCAACAGTTTGTAGAAAATGTCGTAAATCAAAGTCTGAGCTTGTTATAAAACAAATAAATAGTCAAAGAGATGGACTTGATGAAAAATGTGTTGTTACTTGTAAAAATTGCAACTTTTCTTACAACCTTGAAACAAGCAAACAGATTGGTGGAAAAGGAGGTGGATCATATGAAGTAAACAGAAGATCAGTGATAGCCACAATGTCCAGTGGGGGAGGACGGTCAAGCCTACAGAACTTTTGCACACAAATGAACCCTCCTGCTCCAATTTCTCAACCAGCATTTGCTGCCCAAGTGAAGTTTATAGAGTCTGCATCAGTGACACATGCAGAGGAAGTGATGCGTGCTGCCGCACAACGTCTTAGAGATTTGATCTCTTCTGAGAATCCAGAACTCATCGATGAAGATTCTGATGGAGCACTACCATGAAGTGTGACAGTGGATGGCACATGGCAACGAAGAGGACATGCATCAAAGATTGGCATAGTTTTTGTCATGTCTGCTAGAACTGGAGATATATTAGACTATGAAGTTAAGTCATTGGTGTGTCACCAATGCAGCAAAGCCACTAAGAAACTTGGAAATGATACAGATGAGATGAATCAATGGCAGGAGACACATAAACCATTTTGTAACATAAATCATAAGGGAACCTCCGATGCTATGGAATCATCTGCAGCAGTTGATATATTCTCCAGATCAATCGAAAAGAGACATCTCAAGTATACCACATATATAGGTGATGGTGATTCAAATTCATTTGGTAAAGTGAAAGCTGCCAAACAAGACAAGTATGGAGACAGATATCCAATTGTAAAAGAGGACTGTGTGGGCCACATACAAAAAAGGATGGGAACAGCTCTTAGAAGTTACAAGAAAGGGAAGAAAGGAATGAAACTTTCTGATGGAAAAACTGTTGGTGGTAAAGCAAGGCTCACAGATCTTGTAATTGATAAAATTCAAGGGTATTATGGAAAGGCAATCAGGAGCAACAAAAATAATTTGGAAGGAATGCATAGAGCTGTTTGGGCAATATTTTGCCACACTATTGCCAACTCAAATGAAAGCCTTGAGCAACAACATCGTTATTGTCCCCAAGCCAGCGACACTTGGTGCAAATTTGTGAAGATAAAATTCATAATACAAAATCATATTCTGAAGAAGGCAGACTACCAGAGGTGTTTCATGATGAATTAAAGCCCATTTTTACAAGACTTTCTTATAGAGTTCTCCTTCAGAGATGTCTTGCCGGCATGACACAAAATCAGAATGAGTGTGTCAATGGACAAGTCTGGGCAAGGTGTCCCAAGACCAGATTTTGTGGCAAGAGAAGAGTCGTGGTTGCAGTGTGTGAAACAATTGCTGTTTCAAATACAGGTGCTGCATCCAAAGCCAAGCTGTTTGAGAAGTCAAGGGTACACATTGGAAAAACACATTTAGAGGGCTCAGATTTCAAGATAAAACTAGGCTACAATCAGCAGCTCAAAAGATCTCTGAGAAATACATCAGAACAAGAAAGAGACAAGCATCAAAAAAGAAAGGTGACATGAGTTATATATACCAGGGGGCTTTGGCACTAACCCTGAGCCAGACTTTCCAGTTGCTAAAAAAAGAAAACCATCCATAGGAAGCAAGACTTTGGGAAAAAATCAGAGAAAAGGAAATACTGGAAAACATAAAAAAACGCAAGATGAAGAGTTATCAGAGGACAGCATTACAGTGGAACCTAAAAGGGTCATCCCATGCCAATGAGGGACAGTCATGTAATGCACCCTCTCAAATTTTCCTGATACTCCTATCAGATACTTAGCATTTTGAGAGGAAAATAACCTGAAAATTTCAAGTTGATATCTTTGCTCATTCAGATATTATAGTTATTTTAATTTTTGCTGATTCAGCATAATATTATCCACATATCTGCCATTTTGAATGTGCAGAGAAAGTAAACTTTGAGAAATTTTCATAAAGTATATGGAAATCATTAATTAAAATATCATTTTTGGATAAATTAGGGGCAAGGAATTCAAAAATTGCAACAGAAATGCACTAAATCCATTAGAAAACAGAGTAAATTATACCAGAATATAATTTCTTATACTCGCAAATCGCTTTTACCATCCACCAAACTATGAAAAAATTCACCATGTTGGAAGAATGTGACAAATTTCAAATTGTGCATCCAAGAAGTACACAGGACAGACTTTAAATTTACAAAGAACCAGCAAAAGGTTTTTCTTGGTTTCTGAGATATGCACTTTGCAAATTTGTGAGAAATTCGTGAAAATTTGGTATTTTTCTCAGTTGTTTAAAGCCATCTATATAGCAAATACACTGTATGTTATTGGAATTGGTGTTTTACAAATAGAATTTAACTATTATAATATATGGTGTTTATAATTGAATAAATCTTTCCCATCAATACAACCCATTTTCAATGGTTCAAATTTACTTTTATACATGCTTAGGGAGTGCGAAGACCTACAAAAACTTTCAAAATTTTGAAAAAAATCCGAAAATCCGCAAAAATTCGGCAATTCCTAAAATTCATATTTCAAGGTAAAATTTTCTAGGGATGTAATTTATTTCAAAATTATTATCTGCCAAAAGCTAACATCATGACATGTTATTGTGCAGATTTGTTTACTTCAAATCATCAGATTTTATTACTAAAAGTTCCTTAAAAGTTCCTTAATTTTTACTGCACATCAATAAGCCTTAACACTTAATGGAGAGGGGCGAGACAGCATATGCGGAAACTACTCGACAAAGCACTTGACACACGAATAACAAACAATCTATGCGATTATTGGCTGCAAATGAATGGAACCGGCTTTTTAGTTCTTGATGCTTGCAGTTATAAAAATTTTGCAAATCGAAAAGTTCTTTAAATATTTCGGCCTTATACTTGTAGGTTCCTTATAAAGTGGTTCCTTATAAAAAAAGCGTGTACCATCTGTAAACGCGAAACACCACACCTTTTTAAACCTGGTTCCCAGTTGTAATTTGCGTAGGAATCGGGGAAGTCGGCGATTCTCTTGCTTCTTATGCGTATTGGGACAAGTGTGAACGTGTTTTATAGGCTGTTCATGAGTCGCCGACTTCCATGACATTTTTGCAAATTACAATCAGTCGCCTTTTTGCCGCCCCGTGCAGCATTGAAATCAAATTCTCATAACGGAAGTGAACGCAATGAATGCAGAAACGTAAGAAGAGCCGACTACCCTGATTCTTACGCGAATTGCGACAAGTGGGAACAATGTAAATCCTTTGCTCTTCAAAGAACTTCATAGTTAACACCTCTGCAATATTTCCAGCTAATGTCCATGATGTTTCCTGTCAGGAACAGGTGTATCAGTTTTTTTTGAGGTTTTATTTAAATCACATTTGCGCAGTAATTTACACAGCAGACGCTTTAAAAAGTTGATCTGTTACTTCGATACGACGCAAGCAGTTTAGGGTTTCGGTGTAACTATGAGTTTGAAGAATTGTTCGATTGGTGAAAATATTGGCACGCCTTGTCATTTAAAGTCTTACAGCAGAAACCAGGGAATTCAAAAGTTGGACGATCTTGACCTGGAGGAACGAGAAATAATTTGGTGGAGATCCGGACTTTCGATTTTAAATGTGGGTGCAGACATTTGTTTACATCATAAACACAAAATATTAAAAAGATACGTCATAGAGGAAACGCAGTGTTGCGATCCTTTCCATGCCCACACAAAGAAAATTAAAGGTATGTATGTTAGCAAGCAATCGTATACATCTATTTTCAACCAAAATTGAAGTTCTGCATTTTTACAAGAACATTGATTTTAACGAAAACAAACTGTCATTCATGATATAACCGACCATTTCAATGAAACAGTAACATAGGAACTTGAGGGGCAGGTGTCCCTACTTTCCAGAGGATACAAGTTTTGTGCCCCTTTTTGTACGCAAAATTGTCCCTTTTCTCAGAAAAGTGCACTTTTTGTCAAAAAACTTCTGCCGTGCTCCCTTCTTTTGAACACGTTCTACGCCCCTTTTAGGTTACTTCGAAATCGTGAACAAACTTGATGAAGCATTTTGACTAACAAAACTATTTTTGCAGGTGGCCTTGCTGAAATAAAGCTGGAGCTTGCTAAGCACATGATCCAGTATGGGTTGCACGCTGTTCCAGGATATAAGCTATGCCCTTCATGCCAAAAGAAAGTCTGTGCATTGACGCAAGGTGATCCCCATGAAAGTATTTTACCCCAGGATGACCAATTCACGCAAGAACTAGATGATGAGTTAGCCATTGCAGAAAGTAAAGAGGTATTAAGTAGCACATTCATTGAGCTTGATTTGTCACCAATAAAACTGCATTCAATGCCTCAAAACACAATGGTTACGCACGGAAAACGAAAAATCAGAGAAGCAAGCAATGAACTGTCCAAACGAGTTGCCACTGTTTTAAATGTTGATAAAAGTGTGATTAGTTTCGAATCAGAAGAAAATAAATCAGCAAAGGAAACAGAGCGAAAATCAAGGGACCTGGATTACCTGGTTTCTCTCATGAAAGAAAAACTGAATGTGTCAACTAGAAGACAAAAGATTCAAATTTTGACACTGACTCCAAAGTCTTGGGGACTCAGAAAAGCAACAACAGAATTCGAAGTTTCCAAAAGTACTATCCAAAAAGCTATCCGCCTCAGAGATGAAAAGGGAATTATAGAACTTCCTTCAGCCTGTAAAGCAAAGAAGTTGAACGACGACATCGTTACGGCAGTTAAAGAATTTTATTGCAATGATGATTATACTCGTCAGCTACCTGGCAAGAAAGATTGCTTAAGCATCGGAAAGAAGCAATATGTGGCCAAGCGTTTGATATTGTGCAGTTTGAAAGAACTATATGAATTATTTAAAACTAAAAATCCTAACTTAAAGATCGGGTTTTCAAAGTTTGCCAGCCTACGTCCCAAATGGTGCATTTCAGTTGGCCCCAAAGGTACTCATTCAGTGTGTGTCTGCACAATCCATCAAAATTTAAAACTGATGTTAGATGCTATCAGTATAGACAAAAGTTATCATGAACTTACAGACATGATTGTTTGTAACCGAGAATCAAAGGTATGCATGATTCATAGGTGTGCCTCCTGTCCAGGCATAGAATCAGTTGAAGCATATCTAAAAAGGGAACTCCAAAGAGTTGACCCAGGAAAGATGCCGTTGTCAGATGAAATTGGCGCAGTTAACTACTGTGATGAATCTGAAACGTCTACAGATGATGAAGACAATGACTTGGATGAAATAAGTATTGAATTCAATCAATGGACAACAACAGATCGCTCTATGCTGACTTCCCAAACTGTTTCTGCAAGTGAATTAATTTCAATTCTTTGTGAAAAGTTGGATAAAGTAACAGCTCACTCATATATAGCACGTTCACAAGCAGCATATTTAAATGCCAAAAAAGAGTCGTTGTGCGCTGAAGAAGTGATTGTTTTGGGGGATTTTCAGAGAATTACAAGTTTGTAATACAGGATGAGGTTCAAGGGTACCATTGGAATCAACAGCAATGTACTCTACATCCAATAGTTCTTTACCACAAATTTGAAGATGCTGCTCAATTTTCTGTCCAATCCCTCTGTTTCATATCAAACGATTTGGACCATGATGTAAATTTTGTGTACAAAGTTATTTTTGAAACTGTTGCTCATATAAAGCAGCTCTCAAGCCAGGTAAAGAAGATCAGCTATTTTTCAGACGGTTGCGCAGGCCAGTACAAGAACTGCAAGAACTTCATTAACCTGTGCCACCATCAAGAAGACTTTTCCATTGAATGTGAGTGGAATTTCTTTGCCACCAGCCATGGTAAGTCACCATGTGATGGAATCGGTGGCACAGTGAAGAAGCTTGTTGCCATGGCAAGCTTGCAAAGGCCTTCAAATGACCAAATTTTATCAGCAGAGGCAATGTTCCTCTATTGCCAAGAAAAAATAAGTGGAATTGAATTTAAATATATTCCAACAGAGGAAATTCAATCCACACGAGAGAATATAAGAGAGCGTCTCAGTCAAGCAAAGACAGTTCCTGGCACAAGAAGCTTCCACCAATTTATACCAATAAGCTCATCTATTACTGGCGCCAAAAGAGTTTCTGAGGAAGTGGATTTTTCTCTTCGATTCAGTTTTGGAGAGGAGCAACTGGAAGATGTCGAGGCTAGAGTTGGCCGGTTTGTGGTTTGCAATTACGACAAACTCTACTGGGCAGGAATGTTGATAGAGGTAGACAATGATATGCATGATGTCAATGTAAAATTCATGCATCCCAGCCTCCCATCCACTTCTTTGAAGTGGCCAAAAAGAGATGATACATGCTGGGTACCGAAAACAAAGATATTGTTCAAAATCGAGCCACCAACACTTTCAACTCATACTGGTAGGCAGTATATTCTTGATGGCAAAGATAGAGATAGGATTGACAGATGTAGAACTGCTTGTGAGTATATAGCTACATACATAAACAATTTTATAACTAAATAACGAGAAATGACAGTTTGCTTGAATATCAATTTATCTAACCTTTAGTAGCATAAAGTACAGCGGAAAAAATGTTTTGAATATACAGTTTCAAAATTTCAATGGACTCTTTGCCTTAAAACATCCCTTCAAGAAGTACTCTTGAACCATCTATCAAGAGAGATACTGCAGAGAAAGAGGCACACCTATTAGTAAAACACCAATTCCAACAACATGCAGTGTATTTGCTATATAGATGGCTTTAAACAACTGAGAAAAATACCAAATTTTGATGACTTTCTCACAGGTTTGCAAGGCGCATATCTCAGAAACCAAGAAAAACCTTTTGCTGGTTCTTTGTAAATTTAAAGTCTGTCCTGTGTACTTCTTGGATGCACAATTTGAAATTTGTCACATTCTTCCAACATGGTGAATTTTTTCATAGTTTGATGGATGGTAAAAGCGATTTGTGAGTATAAGAAATTATATTCTAGTATAATTTACTCTGTTTTCTAATGGATTTAGTGAAGTTTTAATGCAATTTTTGAATTCCTTGCCCCTAATTTATCCAAAAGTGATATTTTTATTGGTGATTTCCATCTGCTTTATCAAAATTTCTCAAAGTTTACTTTCCCCGCACATTTAAAATGGCGGATATGTGGATAATATTATGCTGAATCAGCAAAAATTAAAATAACTATAATATCTGAATGAGTTAAGATATCAACTTGAAATTTTCAGGTTATTTTCCTCTCAAGATACTTAGCATTTGACAGGAGTATCAGAAAAATCTGAGAGGGTGCATTACAAATCTAATTTTTTTGTCCCACTTTGGCATGGAATGACCCAAAATTCTATTTAGAGAACCTATCTTTGAAAGGATTCATGGTAACTCTTCTGGCTTATGAGCTGGAAGTCTTATTGATGTTTTAAAACTGATTTTAGATGATATAACCCGCCCTGTCAACTTGACAATTATATGAAAACTTTAACAGCCGTTTTCTCAAAATAGGAGATTTTAGTACCACACCATATTGGAGACTAAGTGTACTCCAAATCTTTTACTGTACACTCATGAAATTTTGCAGTGGCATAGGATTAGACTTGAAGAGTGCAATGAGTGGGAAAAAAAAGTTTTTGTTTCCCATGGCAACCGTTGCTATGGAAAACATCCTTATTTGGAATAGAAAGCATTATGAATCATTTTTTTAAAAAGTGTTACACTCATTGCATAGAGGTTCAATAGTTTAAGCTACATGCAAGATTTCATAAGTGCATGATTAACAGTCTCTTAATAAATACATCTCCAAGTTTTACCCTTGCGTGCGCATTTCCCTAATTTGCATATTCTATTTATAGAATAAACAAATAAAAAATCCGTCAGAATGATAGTCCATTCTATGCATTCACATCAGTTAAGTTTATTTTGTCCTGCATCATAGAGCCTTTTTGGAAATTGATTTTGTTTAATGTTAGTGCTTCTAAGAAATTTAGTGTTAATTACCACCTTAATCACGATTTGTTTTTTGGTGGAAGAAATAAATGGGGCCCCTAAGAAATACAAAAAAGGATGTGGAGTTTGTGGGAAGACTTCCGATGTATAGTCTGAAATTATTGAAGATGACACAGAAGTGAGGGCCATATCAAAATTGCGTTTGTATTACCTGATAAGAGAAACATTTATGGCAAACTGTGTGTTGCATGCAATCAGGCGTTATAAAATGGAGGGAAAACTGATTTAAATGTAAAATATTTTCGCCTTAGTCTTGATTCACCTGTAACCTTTTGAATGTTTTACCTCTTTTGTAACAAGGCTCGGAACTTTTGATAATGTGCATGAATACTTTCATGTGATGGCAGAAAATACTTTAATGTGAGCTATTCAAAGTTTAATCTTGGAAGTGAGGCTGTATATACTTGAGGTAGCTATTAATTCAACAAACTTTAGACATATTCCCAATTTTTTATATAATCTCTAATTTCTATTTATTCTCTTTTTCAAAGCAATATAGCTATTTAAAATGGGTAGCTTGGTGAATTTTTCAAGGAGACAAAAGTGTCATCATTTGATATTGGATATCCCTAGGTGTTAAATCACTCCAAACAAAAATTACTTTAGATCAATCAAATGCATTTAAAGATGCATATCTTGTACTTGCAAATGTTACAATCTAGCATAGCAAAACTGTTCGTGAGCGTGCTATTTTTTTGTTTAGAGTATGCTACAAACATCAAATCACTAATATTCAGTTTACCATTGGACACGCTTTCAAAGACAATGGCAAAATATGAGGCTGAGGTTCCACCTTCCTTGACAAGCCAATTCACTGAGCGAGTAAACAGAAGTGAGGCAATCAAAATCTGAAAGACAAGGCAAATGGCAGTGACACATCTGTATCCTGAAGGTAAGCAATGTTGATGTTCATTATGAAACAAAGAGACTTTATGTAAGTCAGACTCAAACTATTTATACATATATATTAACATGATGAGGCAGAAATTTTGGCATTAAGTCTAGCATCCTTAGAAGTTTTTCAACATACAGCTTTAATTTAATTTTCTAGCTGAAGAGCAAGAGCAGCTATTGGCAAATCAGATGGTGGCTTCTGTTCAAACACCACAACAACCTCAATGTTGCTGTCGACTCTGTGGCAAGCCTTGGCGAGGGCACCCACGCAGTGGATGTATGACAGAAGCAGAAGATTAAATAGCTAGTGTCTGAACAAGGAATCTAAAATGTAGTTCTCTTTTCCTATCCTTTCATTTCCAAATGACCACAGCATTATATCCATTGAAAAATTGTTATGTTCCCAGTTTTATTTACTCTTATTTGGAATCAATCTTTATATATATACATATAAGCTATTTGAATTTTGAGACAAGTCAATCCTGTTCTGGTTCTCTTTGTCTGGCAGTCTGAAAACCATGCAGTACTCCAGTTTTGAATTTGTCCCTTATAAGGTGATAAACACAAGAAGGAAGAGGTCTTGCATTATCATGGCCCAAATAGCCAAACAACCAGCATACAAACCATCTGTATGCAACTGCACGTAGAAACCTGAGGATAGTAACAGAATTACCAACAGTTACTAATCCTCTTAGAAGAATGCCAATAGCAAGAGACAGTAGTTATTAAATGTATATTTTTCGCAACAGATTTTTATTTTTAAAAGGGATTTAAATTTTTCCAGATTTTACTGTATAATGATTGAATTCTAAAATAAGAAGGTTGTGTTTGCACTTACTGGTTTTCAGATTCATTTGATCTTTGCCTGTATGGCTTACTCTCTCTTGTTTTGAACAAGGGGCCGGCGAGTTGAAGCACAGACTTATTCATAAGTGCTGCAAAATTTGGATGATCTGTAACACAACCTTTCAGATTCCTGCATGCTTAGCTTTCCGATTACCTGTGACACCTCCCAGCAGTATCTAAACTCATAGACAACAACAAGATTCTCAGCCTTTCATTTGCTACATCGACACCTAATAAATTAATATAGGCCATTACTTTACATGCATTAAAGCTTTGCTATGCCTGTGGTCTTCGACGCAGGCCATACTGATGATGATTGCTAATTTCGATTTGATGAAGGAAAATAATACTGATAATATAACACTTCGAAAATTATGCAACTGAACATTGATGCAATATCACTATTGAGAAATAAGGCTACAAGTGACGCAGCAATTTTTGTATTGTACAACAGGACTAGGCCTATCGTAGCTAGAAATTCTGATTCCGTGATAGCATGACAAATAAATTAAATGCTGAATTTATGCTTCATATTATAAACTTCAAGCTAATTACCAATCATCCACTGCTTGGTTTCTATCAAATCTCTCTTCTAGAGTCTGCAAAGGAATTGCGTTGATGTCAGTCTCGTCATTTTCCCCATCGTCTTTGTCGCAGGAAGATGCCAGTGGATCATCTTGATAGGGCTGGAACATCGTTTCAATGTTCCCATCTTCTAAAATTTCTTCACTAACATCTGATAAAATTTCCTCATCATATGCAGCTGTGAACTCCGCATCCGACATTTCCTTACCAACATTGACAATTTTCCTAACTTTGCTGCACACTGCTCTGCCTCCTTTTGAGTAGGGATCGAAAGCGTTGCAAATTTAGATACGTCACTATCAGAATACGTCACTATCCCCAGACTCTTTTCGAAAAACCTCCCATGATAAAACCCCCCAATAAATGGCCTTATGCACCTTATTTTGAAAAGATTCTTGCAGATTAAGAATCAGCAATCTTTACTGCCTCAGAAATCGAATAACAATTTTTTTCGATTTTTCTTGTCAGTAGCGCTTTAATATATCATACAAAGACATATATAGAAAGAGGTATTATACATTAATGACATTGGGTAAACAATAGTTTTTGAACCCAATCCCTTTTTCAGGCATTGCTACAATTATGTCTTATATATTATTGTTCTTATTGACATTATAGCAGTTCATAGTAGAATAGCCTTGTCATTCTTTCAGTGTTGTCCATTCAAGCTGTTTCATCTTGGGTCTTTAAGTCTTTATTTTCCAGTGAGAAACCTTTTAGTCTAGTTCTTTTTTACAAAAATTATTGCTCTTATTGACATTATAGCAGTTCATAGTATAATAGCCCTTGTCATTCTTTCAGTGTTGTGCATTCAAGCTGTTTCATCTTGGATCTATAAGTCTTTATATTTCAGTGAGAAAAAAATGTATTCATTGTACTTATATCTTAATAACTTAGAGATGGAATGCTGATATAATTCTTATTTCCAATTTAACTGTCTTCTTTTTTTCTTTGGGGAATTTTCTCAACCACCATGTAAGTATAATTTTAAGCCTCGTTCAACTCTCTTTGTAAAGTACTCTGGCAAGACAGCTCTGCAGTAAAAGGATTTTAATTGTGGCAGACAAGAATTTACAAAATGTTCATCATAAAAAATAGAGCAAATGAATAATGGTTCTTGATCTCCGAACCAAACAACAAGGTCCACTCTCTTCAAACCTGAACAAAACATTTGGGTTTAAATTTGATAATAATATGGATGGCTTCTCTTCAACTGCACCTCTTTCTTTTTTGTTAAAAATTTATTTTTGTCATCCGAAGCTTCAGTAAGAGTTGATTTAAATTTAGAGAAGGGACATGATCTCAAGTCCCCAAGAATTTTCTTTAAATTTCACAATTCCATCCAAAGAAGCAGCTAGGTATGGAAAAGATGTGCACACGGTTAGGTCAGGCTTATCAATTATCAATCCTTCATAGCCACCTTGAATCATCTGCTCCCTGTACAATTAACGCACATGTGGCTCATTAAATTTGCCATGGTCAGTACTGGCAGAAGAAAAGGAAGAATAGTACATGGATTTCAGCTTTGAGGATGAATCCACTGAGTTGACAATAGCAGAATGAAAGTTTGAGGCTGTAATGCGGTATAATCTATGAGACTGCCAGTGTTCATTTGCTGCTTGACCACAAGTAATATGTTCAATTCTCTGGATTTCATCATTACTAATGTAGAGATTTGAAAGACAATAATAATCCATCATCTCTTTGAAAGCATTACAAGAAATATCATATGCATCACTGAAAGGTCGAGGTTCTTGAAAATCAGTTAGCATAACAGTAGAATTAGCAAATTGTGAAATTAAAGAAGGAACAGTTTCAGTGATAATTGTTTGCTCATTTGGTGACTGTGATTCTTCCAGAGAATGGAATGCAAGAAAACAGCTATTGGATAGGCAAGACGCAAGCTTTGATTGTAACTCTTGAAGGCTTTTCTTATTGACTTGTTGATCTGCTGGCCTAATGGGATCAACAAAAGATACTTTGGTTGATTAGATTTATCATTATCTTTGCCAAATCTAATTTTTTTTAAATATCTGTTTCTTCAATTGAGACAGGTGAGATTCACACAAAAGAGGTAGGAACATTCCATGCAGATAATCTGGAAGTGCAAGATACAGGCTCTGGGCAGTCCTGGTATCCTTTTCTGTTGAAATCCTCCAAGGCAAAAATAACACCTCCAACATGATTGCAGTTACCAAAACCACCCAGGCCTGCACCAGCAGGGCATGTGCAGGCTGCACAGCAAACATCTCCAGAAGTATTCGAATGGATGACAAGGACCTTGTACAGTGTTTTTTCATAGAAGCTTTCATGGGGACATCAAAAAAGTGTAACTATTATCCCTTGCAACCGAGAAATGTTTAATGTAGCCTTCATAAAAGAACTGGAAAGCTTTTAACTTCTTGTAGGCTGTACTTTTCAACTTAATATGCCTAAATTTCGTTCCGCCCAAGGTCAGAGGACCAAGGCAAATGGCTGCATTTTGAGGAACATATGGCATTGTATGTACACCCAGCGTCTCCTTTAACCAGTCCAGGCTCAGATGTACTTACAGCACTGCTTTCTTCCTGCTCTAATAGACAAAAACTGCATAAGCACAGAGAATTAGATCAGCCTTGACACCGGAGACCTTCTCTTTGTAGGCCAACAAAACTTTCTTTAGCTCTTTCACAGTCAGTATTGAGAAATTCTCAAAGCAGGAAACCGCCCCTGTCAGGTAACAAGGAAATAAATTGATCCATATCCTTGATGCGAAAATCGATGAAAATCTTTTATAAAACGGCAATGATATATCTAAAAAACGCATCTATGCAATGGTTGATCTTCGATTATCTGTGCCGAAACAACTTTAGCTTCGTTTTGGTATTTAAGCCAATTCAATGTGAAAGGGGTCTATTACTGTTTTTGCCTGGTAGACATTGGGCGCAATGAGGGAGATAACGATGCCTCAATTTGTGCATAGTCAGAGATGAGTATGGTTTTCAACAACAATGAAATTGATTTCCCAGAACCTAAAACAGTAAATGGTTACAACCTACCACAGGTGTTGGTGGGAGATGGAATATTCAAGTTGAAGACATGGCTAATGAAGCCATATCCAGGGAAAGACCTTGCACCAGATAGATCAATTTAAAATCATGTCTGTCAAGATGCCGGAGAACAATAGAAAATACATTCAACATTTTTTCTGCCAAATTGCGCATATTTAGAAGACCCATCCGTGCAAGCATCACCACAGTTGAAAGAATAATCAAAGCCTGTGTGTGCTGGCACAACTATCTCAAGCAGTTGGAGAATGCCAATCACACACCTGGGGGATTTGTTGATTTAGAATATGCAAATCGAAACTTTCTTCTTGGCACTTGGAGATCTATTGTATCAACAGATGAGTCAGCTTTACACTCCATTAAGAAAATAAGTTGCAATAACTTCAGCAAAAGTGCAAGAGGGAAAGTTTTAAGACATACTTCAATAGCAAAGCTGGCTCAGTTTCCTGGCAAAAGAAACATGTAGAAAGTTGTGGTGAGACTTTAATATAAACTGCATAAACAAAATGAATCAATTAAACAAAACTGTATCAATATTATTTGTGTTTAGCTCAAATCAGCGTATATCAAATGATTATTGCTACCATGTGTACTTGCTTCTGGTGCAGCCTTTTCTGGGAAGGCCACATGTTTACCTGGTGTCTGAAATGGCACTGCAGTTATTAAGAAATTGGGTTTTTGTCATTGCTTGCATTCTCATCTTCACAAGTTTCCTTGCAGGATAAAATTTCATCTTAATGGTCAATTGATGATCTTGTATTCACAGAGTCCAGAATACCACATTCACGAGAAATTGCTACACCATCAATGCTCCACTCAAACAGGTCCAAGACAAAGCATGCAGCTCCAGTCGGGATCACTGCAATCAAACACTTCAAGGTGGAGTGGTTTTTATATGAAGAGTGTATGTTTCCTTGTTGACAATAGTCACTTGCCATCTGGCAATAAAATTCTATGGAGCACCTGACATTCTTAAAATATCCTTGCAAGGAAACATTTCATAGTTGTAATCCTTGAAGTGATGAAAAAGAAACTGGATCCATGTTATAAAAAATTATGATTCTCTCACTAAGGTTATACATGTTATAATTGGTTGTCACATTGAAGCCCCTACGGAGAATTAACAAGGTGAGGAATAGCTGCTCCTTGGCCGAGAGATTTTGTGGGGCACCAGACCTGTCCCCAGCTTTGCTTTCAGTACAACCCTAGAATCTTAGTTCATACTTGACTTCTCCAAGAAAATTGAATTACAAATTTAGTTGTACAGGATCAAGACTAGAAAAATATTTACATTTCTTGTCATCTGCAACAAAATTTTCACAAGACATCAAATTGGCAGGGCTCCACTTTACAGAATCAGAATTTGTGGCTTCCAAAATGATCTGATTCTTGGAGATCATGGTTTTCACTTTAGCTCCCAAGGTATATTTGCAGTAAATTGTCTTTGTTGACTTGTCCTGCAGGTAGTTACCAACACCGTCTTCATCCTTGACAGTCCCCATCATAGAATCAGATTTTTCAAATTGAAACCCTGTTTCATTCAAGTCGGTGATATTTTCTTCCTGGCAATCCTTATTTAGATCAGAAGGACCCAACACGCGGCTTTCTCTTGCTTGTTTCGTTCTCAATCGCTTAGCCCCATGGATTAAACGTCCCTGCACTTCCTCTCTTGTTAGGGTAGCAAGAACAGGGTCAGGGTAATCATCTGTTGGACCCTTGCCCCGTAAATATATGGTGCATATGTCCTTCTTAATATCTGACAGGCTACAAAAGTTTTTCCTGCCACAGGCATGAAGCCATCTTTTTGCTTTTTCGGTCTTTTCCAGCTCCTGTTTTTTCCCACTCAGTTAGGCTATCTCTCATGGTTCCTGGCTCTCAAAAACTCGGTTCCCTCAGGCAATTATTCCCTGTATCGTGAATCCAATTTGGATGTTCCCCAACAGCAGTGTTTTTTAGCACCTTTTCTAGATCTTTTGGCAACGTCCATGACGAAAATAAAAAACCACAAACGAAAACTATCTAACTTATGTTGTGGAACCTTTACAAACATCCTACGAAAGAAAAATGGAAGTGTATCATTTAAAAGAAAAAGAGATTACCCATAGGAACAGTTTTTACTTGTGCTAATGCGATTAAGACTTGGATTAATGAATGATGATTTAACTGAAAGATTTATTATTTCTCCTACAGTATGCTCAAACATATTTACAACATGGATCAAGATGCTTGAACTACTTCTTGGAAATAAAATTGGAGGAGTCTCGACAATCTCCAATTAGAGTTCTACGAGCCTCCTCATAGCATCAAGGTCACTGTTCTTGCACAGTTTATTATGTTCTGATGTCAGATATCTTCTGGTCACATGATCCAATCCGCTATTCAAAAAAATAAAACAATAGTACCTATAAAACCCTCCACACCCTAGAAGCTCCTCAGTATTTACAGAGAACAGGTTGTTTTATGCTGGCCCTATATCAAGGGAAGGGTGGGAGGGAGCACATTGACCTCGATGCTACGAGGAGGCTCATAGATCTCTAATCGGAGTTCGTCGAGACTCCTCCAATTTTTATTTCTACTTCGTCTCCTCTCCGCATCGAAGTCACTGTGCTTGCTCAGTTTATTGCGTTATGATGTGAGACTTCAAAGGTGAGGGCCAGTGGAAAACACTTGAAGTCAGAGAAAAACAACGTAATATCGAGAGCATACCTCAACAACAATTGAATAAAAACAACTCCATTAACGGTAATAAGTAAAATTGAAAGGATAGTGCATTAACGATATTGCACAACAAACCGATTTTTCAAATGTCATTTGATAATCAGCACAAAGCAATTTATTGTTATCATAGATGCTATTCAAAGTCCTTGACAAGAAACTCATAAACCAAAATGCGAGAAACTTGAGAGTTATCTTTGAAAGAATTTAAGCGAAAATAATGTTGATTAACTGTTTTTGGTGACGACCAATTTCCTCCAAACAATACAGCATCCAATGGAGCATTAGCGCTACGAGCACCTCAAACACTGTGAGCTCCAAACAGTTTTGTATCAATTCCAGCTTTTGGAGAACACCTCGAATCCAGCAAGCGATAGTATCAGTTGTAACTGGTTGATGCGGTGGAGTACAAGCTAAAAATAAACAATCTTTCAGTCTATTCTCATCGTTACATTTGCGAAAGGAATGAGTTTTATCCAAATAAAGTTGGAGTAATTTGGATGTTTCCAGAGGATCCTCTTCATAGAGACTTGGTAAAGTAATCGTAAAGCAAGGTCTTTTACGTTGAACTTTTAAGTCCTCGAATATGTATATAAATGTTGTGCTATTGTCACATTTGATGTTCCTGGAATCAATTAAAGAGATCGTGTTTACTCGTTGAATTGACAAGCAGGTAAGCAAGGTTACAAGTTTTGTTGTTAAATCACATAACGGAGAACATTCGTTCACTTTCCAATTTCGCAAAAACAGCAGTAAGACATGAGCATTCCAGGTCACCAGATATTTTGGAACAGGTGACCTTAAATTTTGAACCCCTTGTATAAATCTGGAAAAAAGTGGATGTTCTCCAATCTTTTTATCGTTAACAGATAAAGTTACAGACAGCGCACTACGTGCTTTATTAATTTGTGAGTAGCTTAGAACCTTCTTGTCAAGTAAAGTTAAAAACTCGAGAAGTTGATAGACAGTGGGTGGAGATATACAATAGTTTCATTCGCTACAAAATGTAAACCACTGTCTGTCAAACCACCGACCGTCAGAATTGACTTGTAGCTGTTTTGAGTTCTTTCTTTCAACTTGCTTTGATGACATCGATAGTCTTTTCAGAAATTTGGTCATTAGGGAGCTGTCTGTTGATAATTTGCAGCCCATCAATTTCATCTTTGGAAGGAGTGGGTGAACTAACTCCAGTTCGCCTGGGCAGCTAAGAAACAAGGGGAAAAAAGGAATTTCAGTTGGAAAATCGACTAATAATTGAGCAAGGTATGGAAACCATGGTTGGCTTGGCTAAAAAGGGCAAACAAGCAACACAACACAACAATTTTCAATAATCTTATTTACGACTTTGCTTATCAAATTGAATGGTGGAAGCGCATAACCATAGTGTCCTGTAATGTAGTTGGCCATGTTTAACAGCCATGAATGAGGAAACTAACAATCCAATACGCTGTGTGACCTGATCTTATCACTGATTGGTTCAAATTGGTTGCTATGCATTACGTGGTAAACAAGCCTTAGTTCCTCAAGGCGAAGTATTACTAGGAAGTTTAAACGTCTGAGAAAGTTCAAAAATGCCAAAATATTGCTGCGTTTATGGGTGTTCCTCAAGTGGATATGAAGCCAACAGATCATTTTATCTAACTTGATAGGCTTAACTTGAGAGGTCAAATGGAAGCTCAAGTGAAACCAAGGACAAGTCCATCGTCGAAGAAAGCCATGGAGCCTCTAGAAAGCGTAGGCCAACCCTCATTTGCATCAAGTTGGACTGATAGTACTTCTACTTCAGGCATACTTACTGATGAAATTAATCTAGAACTTGAGTCTGATCCCAAAGAAAAAGAAATTGCAACATTAAAAGCAGAATGTGATGATGCTATAAGGAAACTTAATATTTTAGCTCAAGACTATGCAGAAATGAAGGTAACTAAATTCAGTGAGCAAAGTATGCCTGATGCGGTATTGCAGATGTATACAGTGCTTGAAAGGAAAGTATTTAATATCTTGTGCAAACATATTGAAAAAGTCCAACCCAATAGCTACTTCACTGGTAAACGAGCTACATCATTATCACTAAAAGATCAGCTACTCTTGTGTCTCATTAAACTCAAGCAAAACCCAACTGATTTGAATTTGGCGTTTAGATTTGCAATTTCAAGGAAAACAGCTCACAACATTTTCATCACTTTTCTGAATGTCTTTTATGAATTCTTGTACATAGCAATCATGAGTAGGAAAATACTTACACTGGAGCAAAATAAATGCAGCCTACCTGGTTCATTTGAAAAAATTTCATCATGTAGAATGACCATAGATTGCACATAAATCAAAATACGTGTGATACAGAAGGTCTAATCTGGATGCTATTGCCCAAACCTATAGCAATTACAAGAGCAATTACACAGCAAAATTTTTAATTGGGGTAGCCCCAAATGGCACCATAACATATGTTAGTGATGCATACCCTGGAAATACCAGTGATAAAGCAATAACATCTTCCTGTGGTGTGTTGGATGTATTCAATCCAGGGGATCTCATCTTAGCTGACAAAGGTTTCACTATCCATGACATAATACCCCAAGGAATTCATTTAAACCTTCTCCCATTTTTGTCGGGAAAGCAAAAGATGCAATTTTCCAATGAGGATAGCATATACACAAGGAATATTGCTCTTGCAAGGATACATGTTGAGAGAGCCAATCAAAGATTTAAAACATTTAGAATTTTAGACTCCTTACCAGCACATTATCGGCTGCTAGCAACAAAAATTGTCCGATTTGCATGTTGCTTGGTAAATTTGCAATCTCTACTCATAGCTAATGTCATTCCAAATTTTCAGTAGACAGAACCTTTTCCAGAATTTTTCCATAATATCATCATAATAAGAATGTCATTTTACATATGTGAATAGGTGTAATGGTAGGTTGAATTACTTAAGGGCAAGCCTGTCACTCATAGGGGAAATCCCACATGATATGGGGATTTGTAGCCAATGTCAGAAATAGGGAATCCCTATGGGGATTTTTGTAAAGATAACATAGGGTTTTTCAAAGAACTGATTAATCTCACAAAATATAGCAGTTTTTACTGAATAAAACAACAGAGCAGAATTATATTTCCTGAAATATTTATAGAAATAATGGAAGCATGTTAACTCTGGAGCTGTGTAGACATACAAATGTTGGCCTTGGAGTTAACATGTTTTCTTTCCTTAATACCACACACTGACAAATGACACTGAAATTGAATAGCCTTCCATTTTGACCCACACAAGTGACATATTATTATGAAGAAAAAAAACATTTTTACAGCAGACTTATGAAGGAGAAAACAACACCTAATGAGTGGCAGCCCTGCTTAAGGGTTACTAATAACAGTTTGGTAAAAGGTGTTCGAAATAAAATTTCTCTAAGATTTCAATATTGGGCAACCACGCAACTTCCTTAGGTATTTTACAAATGTGCGTATCTCTTAGCGTCCAGACTACAAAATCACACCAATCTTTATCAGCAGCAGTATTTGATGGTATTAATTGTGCTCTTTATTGATTTCCAGAGCCTCTTTCAAACAAAACTGCTTTAAGGTCTTGTTTTCCTTCTCAAACAAGATAGCTTGTGGTATGAGCCTGTCTTTGTGTTTTGCCAAGCATTTAACCTCCAAGAGACCTCTATCACCAACATATCCATCTGTCCTATATATCTTTGTGTCCTATTTATCTACCAGAATGACATGCCTTTAGCACTCTCCCAAAATTGCTAAAAAATAAGAAACACACTCTTTAGTTGCCATAAAGCCAGATATATTCAGATTATAACAAACATAATAGGCACATTAATCAAGAAAGGCCTTTTCTTAGAGAAATAAAAAACCATGGGATATAGGTAAAATAGCAAAAGGTATGTCAAGTTCAATTTCAGGTTTTAAGTAGTAAGAAAATGTTTACCGTCAATCCTTAGTATCTTACCTTGCTGCTAATCTTAGGTGTCTTAATTTTGACAAAAGTGGGTTGTTTCTTTGATCTCGTGTTTGCTCTTCAACTTTCTTTATTTGTTCCTCTGAGCATGTCAATTCCTCTTTGAGAGAAGGCACGTCTAGATGCAGAAGGTCCCGCACGAATGAAGGAAGTCCAGATTTGTCGTTAAGCTCTAACGTAGGACTTATAACCCATGCCGTTCCACATTTATGATCAGCATCCATCAGAGATGAGTGGAAATCCAAAATGTCTTCTTCGCTTACAGGTTTATTCAATGCCGTATATCCTGGTTTTGATTTTGAAAACAAATCACTGAAAAGTAATGTCCCCTGCTTCAGCTTTTTTTTGGATGTTTGATCCATGAGGCAGGAACATCCGTTTTTGATATACCAACTTTCTCAGCATAAATCAACGCAGCCACCATGTGCGAGCAAATCCATTTACCTCTAGGACATTCCCATTGTGTTTCAGCAATACCACCTGAACTTTTCAAGTTTACCATGACTTTGTAAGTCTTATCTTTCATAGTCGCTTGTACTTTTGCCGTAATTGTTAGCTTGCCCAAGTTAAAATACAAAACTCTCCTGGATTTAAATTTGTCCTTGCCTCTACGAAATGTGTTGATATCATCATGAAAGTGATTCAAGATGTCCGCGAGTGAGAGCAAATCCATAAAAGTACCAGTTGGCCCGAGGAAAGGGAACTTTGAAAAATGACATGCAAGAATGAACAAGTTTAGGAACATCAACTACAACATTCGTTACCCCGTAACCCATAGTAACTAGGCTACACGTCAAGGTCGGACAGCGTATAACCTGTGCTAAGGGCCTTATGGATATGCGATTGGTCGTAATAAGATCCTTACAAGAGCCGATAATCTTTGCTACTTTTTCCTCCGGAAGAGAAACCATTTGAGAAAGGGAATTTATTTTAAAACCAAGGTGAACAATTTCCACTGAGGGTTTTAAGCTCGATTTTTCAAGATTTATTGTAAAACTGAGGCTTTCAAGTAACGTGTTCCAACTGTTCACCTTTTGCGTGTTTAATTCGGCTTTTTCGTAAGATTTGTTGACGTATAGCGAATCATCTAAATAATACGAACACGGAATTCCCTCTTGGCAAGGTCTGGAGAAAATTTCCCATTTTCTTTGGACAAAGAAAGATACTGGAAAGAATTTGTCCTTCGGTAGGAATAACCTGAGTAATTGCTCCATTTTTTAGCAGAGTTTGAACTTTGATGTATATTAGTGACATTTCTTCAGAAGAGAAATTTATTGGTCGAGGAGCAAATTCGGTCAATGGCGTAACGAGCTTGAGCTCAATGCCTTTAAACTCATAGACTCCCGTTGTTGCCATCTGGCGTGCTTTGTTGTGAGGTGTTTTATCCCCGTTGTTGCCATCTGGCGCGCCTTTGTTTTCAGTCTAGCATCCCCGTTGTTGCCATCTGGCACACCAATTTTCACTGGCTAATATCTTCAAAACGTCAAATTTGATTGGCTTATAATATAATGAGTGATAAAGCTTATTGTCTAGGCATTACAATGATTGTTTTGCTTTGGTGGTTGCTAATAGCAATTTTAAAGTTATTTGCGATCCAAACATCAGCGGTTGAACTTTTCGAATTCCGTTCGATTTCCCGTAATGGACGCCAATCTTGAAGATCTTTTTGCCGAAACTAGCAGCGACAATGTAAGTTTTTACGGATTTACGGGGGAGGAATTAGGTAGAAGGCAAGAGGAAAATGATGACGATATATCTGTTGGCGAAATATCGAGTGAAGATGGAGAGGATGATGATGAAACAGCAGAGTGGCCTGACGTAGAGGTTGCCGAGTGGACTGATATTTTGCAGCCTGTTTTCATCCCGCCATTCAACGAGGAAATAGGACCTACACAAGAGCTTGAGGAAACATCAAAAGAAATTGACTTTTTTCCTCTATTATTTGAGAAAAACATTTACAGAAGGTTGGCAGAAGAAACAAATAGACATGCCCAGCAGTTACAGACTGAGCCAACAACCCCGGACAAAATCCAAACATTTATTGGAATGCGGGTTTACATGTCAGTAGTAGACCTACCAGAGCTTCGGATGTACTGGTCAGAAGACAAATTTTTTGGGAATTTTGGAATTTCCGAAGTTATGCCCAGACTGCGCTTCGAGAAACTCTCCCAGTATTTCCATGCAAATGATCGAGCAGGGTACAACAGGCAAGACCCCAATCGGGATAAGCTGTATTTGATTAGGCCTATCCTTGATTTGGTGCTTGCTGCTTGCTTGAACAGCTATCATCCACACAGGGATGTTGCAGTTGACAAAGCCATGATAAAGTTTCGTGGTTCACTTGGCTTCAGACAATACATGCCAGCAAAGCCAATAAAATATGGCATAAAGGTTTGGGCCCGTGCAGACAGTTGAAACGGCTATGTCAGCGAGTTCGAGGTGTATGTGGGGAGACCAGCTGGTGGCCAACGGGAAGTTGATTTGGGACGGAAAGTTGTCTGTAAATTGACAGAAAAAATAAAGGGAAAGAACCACCATATTTATTTTGACAATTATTTTAATGGAATAAAACTCCATGAAGACTTGTTAGCGAACAATTTATATAGCTGTGGCACCGTGAGAGCCAATGCTGCTGGTTTACCCCAAGCAATGAAGGGCAAGCGGGGGAGTATAAAACTTGCTCCTAGCGAGTCAAAAATATGGCAGAAAGGCATGGTATCTGCTATGTTATGGCAAGAAAAAGCCAAAAAAAAAGCCCGTTAAAATTCTAGCTTCCAATTTTGACCCATCTCAGCCAGAGACATTTGTCAGACGAAAGCAAAAAGATGGCCAGTACAAGGAGGTTCCATGCCCTGTGCCTGTCAAAGCTTACAACGAAAATATGAATGGCGTCAACAGAAGTGACCAGATGAGGACGGCTTATTCATCTGCCAGAACCTCCAAAAGATGGTGGATTTATCTGTTTTGGTTCCTAATTGACTTATCAATTTCCAATGCCTTGATTTTGATGCGGGAGTCAAGAAACCACAAACTGGTCACTCGTGCCGGCAGACCCAAGGAAAGGTCACTGATTAACTTTAGAAAAAACCTTGCGGTACAACTTATAGGAGAAGAAAGAAATGGGAGAAAGAGAAGTACAAGGCCTGATATTTCTGGTGATGGACATTGGCCAAAGAAAATAGAAACGAAAGGGCGATGTAGAAATTGCTCGAGGAGAAACGCGAACGGACAATTGCAATTTATTTGTACTAGATGTAGCGACCTTGACACCGGGAAATTAGTTTATCTTTGCGTTTTAAATAAGGATTGTTTCTCTCTTTTTCATACAAATAATTAATAATTTTTTTATTTCTAAATATAGTTTTATATTTATATCATCTCTTTTCGGTTTGACATAATTCTACAATAACACCTAACAAACATCATAGTGATATGTAGCTTCAGTAAACTCTACTAACTTTGAATAAGAATAATGCCAGAAATATGACTTTTAATAATATAATTTTGTATCATTAAAAAGATTAATCTTTAACAAATACTTTTGTAATACTTCATTTTTTGATTGGATTTGAGGAACAACCCGAAAGTTTGAATTTATGACTGAACACTCTAATTTCATTTGTTTACTTGACACCTGCTGGGGATACAGAGCTGGAAGGTGGCTTCTTTGAGTAGGGATACAAAGCACAATTGACCACGCATTCAATGGGAGTCTATGAGTTAATGAGATTTAGAACAAATTTGTTCGTAGTAATTTGACATCAATTTTAATGAAAAAATTTAGTGCGAGAAGTTACCTCATTTATTGATTCTTGGTGTTGTTTTCGTGTTGCAGGTGACGCTGTGGACGTCGATGAAATTTGCCCCTTCCTGAGGGGCTGTGCCAGTTTAAATTATTTGCTTGGAAATTTTCTCTGCCACTATACGGTTTCCCGCAACCTGGGAACCGGTTCTGGCTTGGTTTATTTGGGTTTTTTAGCATCATTCTGGAGAACTTTGCCCCATCGGTCATTTCCTTGACCGCGTGTGTGCTGCTTTATGTAATATTCAGCCTTCTTTAATTAGAAATCCATGTAAAAACAAGTGAACTTTGAACTGACAGACGTGAACAAGTTATTCCAAAAATGTTATCCAGGAGACTTTGTCAATTTTGAGAAATCATTTGTTTCTTTGTTTATTTCATCTTTGTTTATTTTATTTCATCAGACAAGTTTCTCGTCAAAACTGCCATGGGGTGTCCTGACATCGAAGGAACAGGCAGATAAATCAGCTGAGGCCGTCTGTACTTGGCACTGACTGAAATATTTGTGTTTTCTGTTTAGAAAAATATCCTCCTCATTCTTTCTTAGACCCCGTTTACACTAGAGTGTTTTATCCGGATAAATTTTCATCCGGATAAAAATTTATGCGGATAGGCTCTCCGTCTACACGAGCGAATTTTATCCGTGTAGATATTTATCCGCTTTGCCGTACAAATATTTATCCTGCTACGAAAGCGAATAAATTTTTGTCCGGATAGAAAATTATCCGGCAAAGGGGAGTGTAAACAGTTTTATCCGGATAAATTTTTATACGCATACACAGTGAGGCTATTCTGTTTCATATTGAGACCATTTAAATATGATAACGAAACGGCGCAAGAGAAAAAATTGGCGCACTTTTGTTAATATTCCATGTCATTTTCGCTGTTTCTTGAACTATCATGGATGAAAGTTCACTTCAAAACATCACACTATCTCTGTGTGCATTTTGAAGCTCTGTAGCTGCTGCAGCAAGGCTAAACGCTCTGCTAGCTGTTCTATCTGAGAGATCCTATAGAGTTAGCCAACGCAACTTGGAATCAATAGTTGACGATAGCAATTCATGGCTACAAAGAATAAGTCGTATCGTATTCTCAAAGCTTCAAGAAGAAATCGACGACCTCGCTGGTTCTGGGAAAGACCTTGGAGCAGCAAAGCAGTTTCCTAATCTGTCCATGTGAAGTTCTTATCAGCCTTCTTGCTACTTCCTGTCGATGTCTCCGATTTCTTTGGCCTTGTCGACTTTATGACAGAAATATGAACGTGTTCACTCTGACATCAATGAAAATTATTTTCGCGCGTTCTTAAATCAAGTGATGTGCGCATGCCCAATTAAAAAACTCACCATTTAGTTTCACCGTGTAAACGGAGGGGCTAAACGAATAAAATTTTATCCGGTACAACGTAAACGGATAAAAATTTATCCGGATAAAAATTTATCCGGATAAAACACTCTAGTGTAAACGGGGTCTTAGAAATAGCAGCTCAACTGTAGGGTCTATAGAAGTTGTATGTCTGATTGAAAACGTACACTTGACTTCCAAACATGCTTTCCCATAACAAGAACATTCGATAATTTGGTCTGGACTACCAATTATGAATAGAAGCTCTTTGTAAAGAAACAAACCACACTCAGTAACTGTCACATCGCTGTGATTCTTTTTAAACTTTGAATGAAGCAATTTACTGCATCATTTTCCATGCATCTCCTATATTGCAGAGCTGGCAAATTTGGATCTACATTTTTTTTCCTTGAGATCTTATTAAAAATAGAAGTGAGGTCTATTTCATATTTCGATGAAGATGCTTTTTGCAATGTGCTGAACCTTGTTTTAACATCATCAGCTTTTGTAGCAGTGACGACAAGCTTTCTAAATATATTCCAACTAGGGTTCTGATTTTGGCCTCTGGTCAATTCCTCAACAGCTTTTAAATTTTCCACAGTGAAATATTCAGACACCTTTGCCAAGAAGTTTTCTTCGCAGGTAGAATTAGCAATAATAGTTTCAAGGGAATCATCTTGAAAAGCATCAGGTTCAAGGGAATCAACTTGAATTGCACAAGAGTTCTCTGCAGGTGTAACTGTGAACAAGATAGAATCTGATCACACACACAGATCCCAAAGCAGCAGCAACATCATTTAAATTAAATTTGTAGTTACTTTTAGTGATAGGGTTAAAGTTTCGCTTCCGGGCCGAATTCAATTTAACCAGCTTTTTCCCTTGCTTTTATATACTATATCTCTAAAGCTTCAAGTCTTTTACTTCTACAGGCTCAACAGCTTTAGTATTGGGTAGCCACTGGCATGCTGTACAAGTACAAGATGGGTTATTTAGACCCATTCGAGACGCTGATTCGATTAAAAAAAGAGCCGCTGCTACATGGTTGCATTTTTGTGACATACCAGACATAAATTTACAATGAGTTGTTATTATTTTGCCTGATTCATTACTGAGGCAAAGCCACAACTTGCGAGGAACATCATTTATTCTTGCCAATGGTCTGCATGTTTCCCTTAGGAGACCAAGTTTTCTATCTCCATTTATGCCATGAAATTGCAAAGGTGCTAGCCATCCTTGAGAGATGTAACTGTAGGCTTTTGATGTCTTGTAGTCACTAAGGTCAGTACTGGCAAGCTCATTTGGGTGGAAAGCAAGAAAATTGAAAATGTCTGGATAGAGAGTAACTGGCCAGTATCGAACACTATCTTCTTCACTCAGCCAGCCATGTGTCAACATTAGTGGGTCTGGTATTGGGTTTCCAGCAACAAACAACTTTGCTGCATATTCTTCAGCAGTCTCAGGCTGGAAAGCATCGCTGATTTTTCCACAAGCACATTGTTTTCAACGGCAACGAAAACTCTTGCCACTAATTCTTCTTTCTTTCCTGTTACACGCAATCCACGAAGTTGTAAAAAGTCTTTCAACTCTTCAACTTTTAGTGCAGAAATCCTGGTCAAATCCATTACGATTGGTAGGCCACTACAACAACACAACCAAATTTTCTGTGAATTGTCAGAGCTTCTTACCCAAAACAGTTTTCAAAAAAACTCTTCCAAAGATAAAAAATCACAAATCAGCAAGTAGGAGCAAATTCCAAATGAAAACAGCAGTTGGAAACGAAGAAAAATCTCTTGACAATCAAGTACAGCACACCATTTTCATCAGTATTCACATACAAAGCCAAAAATCTTTCACCCCAAAACTAGCCCCAGTCCCTGGAACAAAATGAGGCCGCGATCCGTTTAAGTTGCATATTCATGATGTTGCTGAAAATTGAAATAGCAGATCAATGATTTAAACTTTTCACCAGAAGAGTTGCCTCCGAGGACGACCCCACAAAAATAAACAAAATCGCGCCTAGGGATCTTTTTGAAGCAGCAGCTTACCTATACAGTGAAGACCTCATTGACGAAGAGGAGTTTATGTTTCTTGTAAAAGAAAGCAAAGATAAAGCACAAGTGTTTCCTTACTGGAAATATCCAAGATTTTTCGTTTGGAAATATCCATCAATTCTTGCTGTGCTACCTTTTTCAGAAGGAAAAAGACATGATGCAAGGTTGCTGAGGGAGTCTGACATTATCTAGGTGCTTGAAAATCATTCGAACAGGTTAGATGGAACACCATTGTGAATCTATGGAGACCCTGCATACCCTGTCAGGCCCCATTTACAAGCTCCTTTCAAGAACAACCACTTAACAGAAGAACAACAGGCATACAATAAGGCAACAAGTAAGGTTAGAATTTCAGTTGAGTGGCTGTTTGGTGAAATTCTGCAGTATTTTGCCTTTGTTGACTTCAAGAAGAATCAAAAGATTGCTCTCTCAGAGATTGGGAAAATGTACAGAGCCTGTACCCTTCTACACAATGCAAGAACATGTTTATATGGATAATCAGTGTGCAGATTTTTGGACCTTGAACCACCATCATTAGAAACATAATTTCAATATGATCAGCAAAATTAGGAAACATAAAGGAAAAACATATTGTATTAATGTATGCTAATATACTCTAAACTTTATTTCACAAGAGCTGGTAAATTGAAGTTCAGGCTGGCTGTTTTAAATTTTTCCAAAACTTTGAGGCTGGATTGTTCTGAAATTATATGGGTTTAAGCAGTTTAATTGCGAAATGTTGTCGTCAAGGGGAGTAAGCCATCCTTCATTTTCAGAAAAGTTTGAAAACTCAGCAAAAAAAGCTGACCCCTAGATGGCAAACATTTTTTAAAAAGGCTTCACAATTTTGTTAAAAATAATGTCTTACAGTACATCAGCCTCAGCTTGTTCTTAATTTGTTTCTTACATCTGGCTAATTTTAAGGCTTCTGTCTTCAGAAAATCATGCTTATAAAAAATTGTACAGGGCCTATATAAAAAATAAAACAAGTTAAACTTTAAATTGTTTTTGGTGTTATCGATAGTACTTATCATTTCGTTCATAACAGCTAATGTTTGCATTCGAGTCTGCTGCATCTGTAACATGAATTGCTGCTGTTCCTGCATCATATTTTGCATGCAGGTTGACCCTCCATCATTTTGGACAAATTCTCCCCTTGCTAAACGCCTTTCATTCAACTCTTCTTTATTCAACTCTCTTCTTGATTTGCATTTTCCTGCTTAAACTTTAGCCCTTGCTCTATGAGTACAACTGCCTCAGAGGCCTTTTTCCTCCTCTTCGGTGTTTCTGTCCCATCCTCTTCTTCTTTTCTATTTCTAGTTTCCCCAAGACGCTCGACAGCTTTCATTCGCATATCTTATGCCTTCTTATTTTCTTTATCTTCATTCACCTTGATCCTCTCTTTTGCTTCTGCCCACGAAAGCTGCGTCTCTTCAATCCTCTCGCTGATATCTAGCATGCCACGATACAAATTGTTGTACTCTGCCCCTTGAATGCCCGAAGCTCTCTTCTCAGCAACTTCATTATTCTTGAAGTTTCAAAAATCTATCTCTCACCGATCGTGCTGTGACCCTGAAGTCTTGCACTGCTTTAGAGTTTGAATTTTCAGTGATCTGCTTCCAAGCTAGGCCCCTTTCCTTTGAGCAGCACGGTCTCGCGTCAAAAACGGAACTATATTCTGTTTCAAACACTCTGATAAAAGAGAACATTGATCTGTTATATAGTGTGCGCACGCAATCAACATTTTTAGACAACTTGCGCATTGGAGAGCGTGTTCCTGAAACAGGGCTGGCTCGGTTTTTGCCTGATTTTAGTGTTTTTAATCACCAGAGAAATCCATAGATATTGTTAGTAAGTAACCATAATTTAGTGAATCTCGTATGATATCTACTTTAAATCATATCAAGTTTTGGTTTCAGGAAAGCCAAGGAAAGAAAATAAATTTACCTTTACTTTAGGAATTCTTCCCTAATTCGAGGTCACGAACTCTAACCTGTTTTTTTGTTAATGAAAATTTCCGTTGGCTAGTTTCATAGCATATCGTTGTACGAATCAGGTTTTTTAGCGTTTAACTATCCATTATTGATGATGCTGGGGGTGGAAGAGGAAGGGGCAATCGATAGGCCTAGTCATGTAAACAAAAAGGCGCTGCAAAGGTCTACCAAAATCCCAAAATAGATCCATAATATTATTTTCAAAAAATGCAATAATCATGGCAATAATCATGTTATCAAATCAATTAACAAATCAGCAAAACCAAGCACCAAATTTCTAAAGATATGAAATCCAAAAATACTCTTTTTTATTATTTCTAGGCAAGACACCTTGCGCAAATTATGAAAATATTTACCCAAGATTATTCCTATTTAATGTCTTTGCCTTCATGTTAAAGGAATCAAGTTCATGAGGCTCTCCAATTGTTTCCAATACATTTATTGCTGTTAAAACCATTATAACAATATCACTATAACATATCACATAACAATATCACCCACTTTGTCGACAAATGAAACCTGGAAACCCCCCTTGGCACAATAGCCAGTGACAGTCCTGAGGACAGTGAAAATTCCTATTGGGGGCTAATCCAACCAGCTTTTGTCATGTTCACTTCCAATTTTCTTTGCATGTCAGAATGATGGACAGGGATAGGGCCTTACTCTTTGGTATCAACTACTTAAAAACAGCTAATTTGATTCCAGTCAGCTATGGCTCCCATGGCAACCACTCCAATCCATTTGGCCAAATAGTTAAAATTAAAAGTTAACTGTAAAGTACTGTCAATCTCTATCACATCTAGGAAAATGTCTTTTTCTGTAAATCCATTTCTCTGCCTTAACTTCTTTTTTATACTTGTACTTTTTACATTTTGTCATCTTTGAGTGACCTAGATTTGTAAGCAAAAAGTATTTTTAATCTTCAACTAAATTCTTTTATATTCAATGTACAATTATGCATAAATCTAAGTAAACCTGTCTATCTTATAAATTCATACTTTCTTATTGTCAGGACTAATTTTTATCAGCACATCATGTCATCAGTGAGTATTTAGTTTTTGTATCCAGTATCAAAATATATCTGAAATTGTAACTGTTATTTTGATGAGTGTGTCTTTTTAAATGATGGTTTGTTCATGATTTTACCCAATGTTTATTTTGAACTTATCAGGCCGGCCATAATTTCTGGGTCAAAAATTACATCAGAGAAAAGTAAAATGTAAATAATTTTAAATGATTTTTTTACATCTTAAATTTTATTGAAAAATTTCTTAAGGTAGGAGTTGCATTTTTCCAGAGAAATGCCTTGAAAATATGTATGCATTGTGGTGCTGAAAACAAACATAAAGAGGCAAAAGTGTGTTTCCTGTGTGGAAGAATTCGCAAAGAGAGCTCCTAAGCCAGTGAGGAAGACCAAAAATACCTTTCATGAAGACAAAAAGATGTTGAAACACAGGGTATGACTTGTATTCTTTAAGCAGTATAATTCTACAGTAACAAGTTCATGCTTTGGTGACCTTTTTTCTTGATATTATATGTTTTAGAGTTTGGTCATCAATGGTTTATCACAAGCACTGATTCTATTTGATTTACAGGTGAACATGTTATATCAGAATCAAAGTTGTAAGTTGTTGGTTCTGGGGTATCACAAAAACCTGCACAAAAATACTGTATGGATGTATAGCCCAGAAGACTCCATTGCCAAAGAATTTCTTCATTCTGAGAGTGGGAGAATTGTCTTGCAGATGTTCAAGACCTTTATTGAAAAGAAAGAATGTAAGTTGAGATTTACTACTCAACACACTACTTCTGATCTTGTATTTTTTTGGCCTTTGATCAATGAATTGGCTTTAGAACGTTTTTATTATAAAATTCCTGAAATATGCCATATTTTCATGAAATTCGAAATGTTTATCCCATTAATCTTCCATAGACAAACAAAGTAAAGATCAGCATAATGCTAAAGAACAAGACAATGGTATGATATGGCATTTTTCAAATACACATAAACGGCATATATAGCGATTAAACTTAAATTTTTGTTCATATTCCATGCCAATTACTTTTAAAAATTTAACAAGAACTTACATTTTTGCAAAAAAAGCAACCCCGTCCTTCCAAAGTAATTTTCATAAACATGGTTTTCATAAACAATAATTGTCAAAAACACGGAATATTTCTCCTTCATTTAGACTTAATCTAATGAATTGAAAAGGATCAATCATTCATTTAATTCTCGTAAATCTTTCTCCGATCTTGTGACAAATATCTAAGTGAGTTATGTATAAACGAATCTTTGTTTTAGGAGCCGATCAAGCAACAACATCCTCGTCAAATAGTAAGCTTGATTTATGACAGAAGTTTGACTTTTTTCTCTTGAAAGTTCCATCTAATTTTGTGACAAATATCTAAGTGAGTAATGTATAGACGAATCTTTGTTTTAGGAACCGATCAAGCAACAACATCCTCGTCAAACAGTAAGCTTTATTTGTGACTGAAGTTTGACTTTTTCAATTCACACTGTAGTATTGTGACAATTTTATGATTGATTTATGTGGAACGAATCTTGAGGTAAGCAGTTTTAAGTAATCAAAGAATTCTTTGACGATTTAAGTTATTGCTCAACAGCCTTGAAGCGGACATCTGGAACATCTTTAATCCGTGGGTAGTGGTACGCTTCCAGGTTTGTCTTTCCTTTACGGTCTCATTTGCAAGATTTTTTTAACCACATATTTGTTCCCTATTTTTCTATTGTAAATATGCTTTTTAAACTACGCTTCTTGATTCAAGCGCTTGTCACAATCCCACGTACCGTTGATGACGCATGCATATACCCTTATGTCATGTATGTACGTTGATCTGTGTGGGCGCTTTTCATTTCATGTTTTTAATTTTGATTTTTGTTATTTAATCCTCAGGCAATTCTGTGAAGATTATAAAGTTGGACAGCAGTCGTGAGTTAAATCCAAATTTTACATTGCTCGTTTTTATATCTAATTGTTGTTATGAATGGTATTCATTAGTTTCCTCTTTTCTTTTGCAGTGCTCAGCTCGAATCCTTCCTTGCAGGAACTTCTTTCGCGCTTGAGAAGAAGCGAAACCGAGGAAAATACTAAATAACGCTCACTTCAAGTTTTTTTTAAATTTTCCTATTAATTCGTACATACTTCTTATCTAAAGTTATTTAACATTAATATATAATTATTATTGTTGCTTTTTTATAATTGTTATTATTATTGAAATATAAAAAAACCAACGAAGCTCTTTCTGAAGTTGCAAATATAATTTAAGCTTCTTGTGCAATTTCTTGTCTCTCCACTACGTTTTAAATTGTTTTGCCTCGTTATATGTACTCTTCATGGAAGAAAACAAGTTTAGTGCATCGTAGTTTTTCACTACAAATATCTGAAATTGAAAATGGAATCAAGGGGAAATTTATGAAGTCCACGCTCTTTGAAATGTCGAAAAACCGTAGGTTTAGATCTAGCTTTGAATCAGGTTTAATTCTTGATAAAGATATGGTTAGCATTTTAGTTTTCAAGAATCTAACTTTAAAGAATCTTTATCTAAATAAGAAGCATCAGAACCATGTTGTGTCCACGGTCTGAAAGGAGTAGCCGTTAAACATTGCTGATCAAAGCGACAATTGGAATTAATTTTTCGAATTTGGGAAACATGTAATTTTGGGCTGTTTGAGTTTTTGAGGTGCTACTCCCCTCCCAGTTGCATAGGCTTTTTTGATTACAGAAAGAATGTGCGATCTGCGAGTGGAAAGACAGTAAATGCGAGAAAAATATTACGATTTTTTTATAACAACCCAAACAAGTGTCACCTGGGATTTTGAGAAGTCACTGCCTCGTTTGATCCTACCCTTACAAACAAACTCTAATAGACTTTGAAAATTCAATAACCCTAATATATAGTTTTACGAATTTCTTAGTTCATTAAATAAGGGACATTTAAAAAAGGCCTTAATTAAAAAAGTTAATGTTTTGCCATTTTACTGAAAAGATCACTTGCACATACTATTTCTTGAATGCAAAGAACACAGCACGCTTTTTAATCAATTCAAACTGCTGCTCTATCAAGGAATTTTTATCTTCGTCCTGAAAAGGTAAAGCGGCAGTTGATTTCAGAATTTTATCATGTGGTTACTGACTATTGTGAAGTTGGTAGTTGCAGGAAATTTGTTTCATTAGTCAATTGAGAAGGTGTTAAATGCATAGGCGTACGGGTCGAGCTCAGATAGTAAGGGATGGGGGGGTAGTGGTCTAAATTTTTTCCCAAAAAAATTTTATAGCCCAAATTTTTACTATAACACATCTAATCTTGTGATATGTGCGAAGAAATGACTAGGAACGTATATCAAAATGAAGTTACTTTCTCGGCATTTTTAAAAAACGTCACACGTTACTAAATAGCATTCGAGTTTCCATTATAAGAAATGTGAATCTCTTCCACGATGGCGACGACATATATCGTTTTTGTCAACTTCCCTTTTGCGAAGAAGATTTGGATTTGAGTGTTCGATATAAATGCGAGATATATGTTGTCCATGGTGTTAATGCCCCCCCCCCCCCCCCCCCCCCCCCTTTGCGTACATACACTTCGAAAAGACCCTCCCACTTCCGTAATCCGTTAATTGAATCTGCATGAAGTAAAATGTTGCATAAGGTAATGACCCTCAAATTCTGTTTTATAAGCTAGTCTTTAACCGACCGATTAGTACAACCCCGCAGGAGAAGGCTCCTTCCCGATTTTCGCTCTGTTCATAAGCAAAGGACTGCCGCCCATAGCGAGCCTTTGTTTCGACAGATTAATCTCCATAATCTTGAAGAATGTTACAAAATTGAATCGGCAAAATTCATTTTTGATGTCACGCAGAAAAAACTGGCACAACTCTTTCAGGGCTTTTTAAGCAAGTTTCATCTGTACACAATATCTGCACAAGACAAGCAATGTCTGGCTTTTTATCACAGTCTACAGTAAGAACAAATTTTTAATGCCCATAATAAATAAAAAATTTAAATTCTGGAATGATATTTCTCTGGAAATAAAACAATTCAAAATGGAACATTATTTTGTCAAAGCCTTGAAAAAGTGGATTCAAAATAGTTCTCGAAACTGGATTCGGGAAAGATTTTGTGATTCCTAAATTAATGAGCACATACTTTATTGGCTGGCATTTTTCCTTTTTCTTTTCCATTACTTTCTTTTATAATCTTTCTTTTTCTTTCTTTTATTTTTTAATTTTGTAACTTCTTTTGAAACTTAGTTAAATCTTCATCTTAAAATTTGTCACAATGTTGTAATATTTCGCAATTCAGTGTAATTATATATGCATGCAGTATTATATCTTTGAATAATTATGTACATTTTCAGACAGTTTCCATAGAAACCAACTTATAAATACTATTGCGTCACCATAAGCACCACAAACAATGTTTTTTGCATGCCTGGTATTATTTGGGAAAAGTTTACCTCGAAGAGAAATCTTTCCAAAATGGTACGCTGAGGTCCTAAATAGAAGGGGGACGCTTATTACTTTTTCGATTTTTTTCTGACCCCCCCCGGAACTTGTTTGGACCCCCCGTTTATTAATTTTTATATGCAGCCATTCATATCCCTTATTTCATCTGTTCTTGGTTCTTGCAGGTGTAAAATTTTTGTAAAGTTTCTCTTAAATTAGGTTGCATTGTACAAAAGTGTTAACATTCGAGAAGTAGTATGACATCCGAAAAAATTTACATAGGCCTGACTGATGTACATAATGATAATTAGCATGCTCATTTTAGTAATACAACAATACATTATTACATGGTGATAAATGTCATTTTGCTTTATTGATTGTATTCAGAAGAAAATCTCCTTTGACCCCAAGAAAGAATTGACACACGATTTCTCAGATTTTTCACAATTCCGACCCCCCACTTATTAGGACCCCCCCGCTTATTTATCTTTTGAAAAAATTCTGATCCCCCCCCCCCGCAACTATCAAGACACCCTTCTATTAAGGACCTTATAGTAATAATTATTAACGAAAAAGTGTTGAATTCAGTTAAGCACGGTTATCATAAATCCTCGGATTAGCTCCCCAATGGCTTATTGATTTTGGCAGTTTTTTTATAAGGGTGCTTTTTTGATGAGTCTTGCACAAGGGGTGCATATAAAAATCATGTCATAGAAGGCTGCTTTTGACATTGCTCAGAATTATGTTGAGAGTCAGGAGAACGTAATTGAAGGTTTGTCTCCGAAAATTTTATTTGTGAAAGTTGTGAATTGTTTAGATAAAGTTATAAAGATATTCCTAGGATAGAATACATAGCACAGTTTTGGTAAAGGTGATACACAAAAGAATTCAGTGGAAAAAAGATATATCAACAAAATATATAATTCGATATTTGTAGGTACAATTTATCAAAAAACATTAAAGTTTACTGCCAGAACTATAATGTATGAAGTATTTATCCTATCAATGCTTTTACGAAATAAAATAAATTGTATACAGCAAAAATAATATGTAGCACATAGGAAACAGATTCAAAACAACAGCCGTCCTAATCGCAAAGACTCATACGAAATATACGCTAATATCTTCTTTTCAAGAAATGAAATGAAATAGATACACAAATGAACACAAATACATGATTAAAGAAATAGGCATAAAATACACAGTTTCTAGATCCAGTTTAAAATTTGGGATTTATTAGTAACATAACTTTCTACACATGGAAATATTTCGTGTTGGTATGCAGGCAAAAAATACATGAGCTTTACGTCTGTCTGAGCAAACAAGACACCCGCCAGTCTTCATTTACCACGTCTAAATCGAAAATTCACCCGGTGTGCAAGTCAACAGATTCCGACAGCGAATCCAGCTCATCAAACTATTGTTATGCAATAGGGGGTTCAAGTCAAAAACCCTTAGAAACCTGGCTTAAAATCAAAGGACAACGCATCTCCTTCCTAGTGGACACTGGTGCGTCTATCAATATCATTGATAATGCAACTTTTAGTCAACTCAAGGGTATTTCATTACAACCCACAAACATAAAAGCCTATGCCTACAACTCGCAAACGCCCGTGAAAATGAAGGGCAAATTTGAATCATTGGTGGAAACAAAGAAACGTTATGCCGTCGCAAAGTTCTATGTCACGGAAGACAATGGAGGCTGTTTACTTAACGCATCAACGGCCCAAGACCTTGGCTTAATTAGCTTGCATTTAAACCAAGTTCACCCACCAACTGGAAACATACAAAATAAAGATCTGAATGATATCGTTAATCAATATCCAGATGTTTTCAAAGGCCTTGGTAAAATGAAAGGAAACAAATTGACTTAATAATCGATTCAAAAGTCAAACCAATCACACAAAAGTGCAGGAGAATTCCCTTTCATCTTCGAAAGAAAGTCGAGAGCGAGATTTCCAAACTATTAGATCAGGACATAATTGAGCGCGTTCCGGAGAATGAACAAACTGATTGGGTTTCTCCTATTGTTTGCGTACCAAAGAAAAAAGGCGATATCAGAATATGCATTGAGATGAGAGCTGCAAACACAGCAGTTAAAAGAGTTCGTCATGCTATACCAACTGTGAAGGATATTTCTATCGATCTCAATGGTGCTACAGTGTTTTCAAAACTTGACTTAGCGCAAGCTTACCACCAGCTTGAACTTAGTCCAAGTAGTCGTCTGAATTTTGGAACTTCAAGTGCGAGTGAAATTTTTCAGCACACATTACAGCTTGCCCTTCAAGGACTTAATGGCGTCAAAAACATCGCCGATGACATCATAATTTTTGGAAAAGATGTGAACGAACACAATGAAAACCTAAATGCATGTTTAAGACGATTGAAAGAACTTAACCTTACCTTGAACTTCGAAAAGTGTAAATTTTTAAAAGAGAATCTTGAATTTTTTGGATTTATCTTTTCTAAAGAAGGAAAGCGCCCTGACCCGAAGAAAATAGCAGCGTTTGTAAATGCAGCCACGCCCACTACTTCCACGGAGGTACGCAGTCTATTGGGTATGTCAAACTATTGCTCTCAATTTGTACCCGATTATGCAACGATTACAGAGCCTTTACGCAATCTAACAAAGAAAAACGCTCAGTTTAATTGGACAGAACGTTGTGAAGAGGCTTTCAACACGTTAAAAGATGTTCTCACGTCGAGTCCTGTCGTCAGCTACTTTGACATCGAAAAGAAAACTACAGTTATTGTTGACGCGAGTGCAGTCGGACTATCAGCCATTTTGTGCCAACAAAAGCCTGGAAGTGCGCAAGAAAACATTGTCGCTTTTGCAAGTAGATCATTATCACCTGTCAAGCTACGCTACTCGCAAACAGAAAAGGAGGCACTCGCCATAGTATGGGGGATTGAACACTATCATTTATATCTATTTGGTTCCAAATTCACGTTAGTTACCGACCATAAACCGTTGGAAATCATCTATGCAAACCCTTGCTCCAAACCACCAGCCCGTATCGAACGCTGGATGCTGCGCTTACAACAATACGACTTTGAAGTTGTGTATAAATCAGGGATTGGAAACCCTGCCGATTATCTCTCACGCCATCCAACTTCAGCTGAATACAAGAAGCAAAATATAGCTGATGAATACGTCAATTTCGTCACCCAAGAAGCTGTTTTTCCTGCTCTTTCTTTGGGTGAAATCAAGGCTGCCACTGATAAAGATACAACATTGCGGTGTCTACGAGCAGCTATCAGGAGTAATTGTTGGAATGTTGATATCTTACAACCATTTCGCGCGATAAAACATGAGATATCCGTTGATCTCACCAACAATATTCTGCTGAGGGGAACTAGAATCATTATACCTGAGTCACTTCAAAGACACGTCATCAAAATCGCCCATGAAGGACATCAAGGTACAGCTAAAACCAAAGCACTTCTTCGCGAGTACGTGTGGTTTCCTAAGCTCGAAAACTTAGTTAATGAAGAGATAGCCGACTGTTTAGCATGCCAAGCTACAGGTGCTCCAAATGCACAAGAACCACTCAAGTCACCACCTTTGCCCGAAAGACCATGGCAAGAACTTAAAGTTGATTTTTATGGACCATTGCCAACAGGACAGTATCTGTTTGTCGTTATTGATACATATTCGCGATTTCCAGAGGTCGATATTGTTCCGTCAACATCAGCAAGTGCAATCATTCCAAATCTGGATGCTATTTTTGCAAGTCATGGTATGCCTGATAAATTGAAGTCTGATAACGGCCCACCATTTTTCGGAAATGAATTTCACCGGTACATGAAAGCATTAGGTATACGTCACACAACATCTACGCCTTTATGGCCACAAGGAAACTCTGAAGTGGAATCTTTCATGAAACCCCTTGGAAGGTCGATTTGCACTGCCATTCTTGAAAAACCACAATGGCAACAAGAGCTTCACAAATTCCTTTTGAATTACAGAATCACACCACATACCACAACAAAAGTTCCGCCAGCACAGTTATTATACAATCGACCTGTTATAGGAAAGCTGCCCATGCTACCAAGAAAGCTCAAGAACATAAACAGACATCGTGAAGCAAGAGAGAATGATCAGCTAAGAAAGGGAAATGCGATGAACTATGCTAATAAACGCAGAAACACGAAAGAATGCGATATAAAAGTAGGTGACCTGGTTATCTGTGTGCAAAAGAAAACGAACAAGTTCTCATCTAGATTTAACGTGCAACCTTACAAAGTCGTTCGTGTTCATGGATCAAAGGTTGTTGCTAGACACGGAGATCATTTCATTTCCCGTAACTCTTCATTCTTCAAAAAGGTCCAACAAAGACTTGACGGTAACATTGCTGCTGCTGCTGATGATGATGATAATGTCGAATATCACAAAAGAGCCACAGAAGAAATTCCTGTTCGTCGATCTGCACGCAGTCGTATACAGACACAGTTTTATGGAGATCCAATAAACTCTCGATTAATACGTTGAAGGATTTTGTTTTAATTTTTTTATTAAGAAAAGAGTAAATGTAATGTTTTGTTCAGCGAAAGGACGCTAGGGCCCAGACCCTATATATATTGTTATGTTTGAAGAGTTATAAAAAGTTACGTTCGAAGCACGCCAGAGTTTGAATCATCTACAATCTGCCTATTAGGCCACAGTAAACATAAATATAACAATTTGGAAATTGACAATCGAGATAAGTTTGAGTATGCTAGACGTTGCTACCTAGAGATAACAAGGAAACACATCTGCGATAAATTGTACAGTTTGCATATTAATACCGTATGACAACCAATGAACATTTCACATTGGTGCCGATACCACGAACTTTAGCTACCCGGTCAACAAAAGCATGTAGGGAGTCTTTCAAGCGGATCAATATCGGACCAGATCTTATGGAATCAACTTCATTGGCGTGGGTGTCCACAAATAAAATAGTCCTTCCATCCAGAAGAAACAAGGACAACTCGCCTTTATTTGTCAAAATCACAACACTTCTCTTTTTCAGGAAGAGCAGACGATCAAGGTGAAATTCAAGAAGACAGTCGTCTTCAGGATGCTCAAGGTACACGTCTACCTTCAATTCAATGGAGGGGCTCAAGTTTGAAACGCTAAATAACGAAACTGCCTCTGTTGCTGAGTGCGGAACAAAGTCGGAAAAAAAAATGTTCAATCAGTCTCCCTCAAGAACGGCCTCAAAAATCTGGCTCAGAAGTACCTCCAATCTGCAATGCAGGTGACGGATTTTGTAGTCTGAACAGGCGAAGTAAAATCCCAAGATGATGCAGCGAAATATACAAGAATTGGCACATCCATTATCTTGAAAACAGGAATTGAAGCTTTCACTTGACAGCAGTAAGATTTCAGAGTTTTCATCTTCTGTTTTTTCAACAAAGTACACATCATCCGACCAGCAGTGTTTTCGGCTTGCGTGAAAAACTTCAGTTACTTCGAAAGATAGGCCTTCGGTCTCATCTTCGTTGTCGGATTCCTCAAAAGCTTCGTACAAGTCGCTTTCCAAATCATCCCGGGAAGATTGGTCTTCAGGCTCATTATCGACAAGCTTCCTGTAGGTCTTGGCAGCAAGGTCAATTTGCACATGTGCGAAGTGCATTCCCTTCTCGATTGACAGCAAGGGCTCCTTTCGCAACAGAAACACTGCCCAATTTGGCATGATATCTACTCTTTATCTGTTGATATAAGAAAATTCGCCAAAATTGGGCGAAGATTTATAAACATTGTCACTCGTAAAAGGAACAAAAATTTTACAGCTTTTTATAAAGTATTAAAGTTTTCTCCAAAGACACCCACTCAGTTGTGTTTGATTCTATGGTTTTCGTAGATTAACAAAATATCTTTAGATAGCACAATCGAAGCGCTAAAATAAACCTATATCATCAAGGTAACAAATAATAGTTCAGAAAGACAATAAATATGAAAAAGCCCAATGAAAAGATACTCTATTTCCTAACAGCAAGGTCTTGCCCAGAAAAGCTACTACTTACCGACAGATCCCTAAGTGGTATTTCCCTTGGTGGTGAATGTGCTGCAATGCCCCCTCCTGCTGTAAAAAATCGAACATAGATGAAAATTACTGTTTCTATAACAAATTAATAAAACATACCCAAATAAGTCAGTTTATCGGTTACAGTTTCACGTAATTGTTAGAGTAGTTCACGAAATAGTCAGAAAACCTACCCATCATATCGTTTATTTTTTCAAGGATTTCTTCTTTTCTAGATGCTAGTTTGGGCAATACGCAGGACCTATAATACTTAACATTGTCCTTCATTTCACGCAGAAGCAAGGAAAGTTCTTCTTTTGATCTGGTAATGAGAAGCATCTTCTCCACCACAGCTCTTTTCGTTTTCATTGTCTCACCTGAAACAGACAAAAAAAAGAGTCGATAAGAATACTATCAGCTATTTCTCAATACAGCAACAACAGAGGTGAAAATAATAAGGTCAAAACAATATAACTATTCTAAAGATTAATGAGCTTCAACCTAACCTGAAAGAAGTGAGTTTACATGCCAAGGTATTTCCCCTCGGGCAACTTCTTCTTCTTTGGCGATCGGCATCTGGAAATCAGCTGCAATGGAGTTGTATGCCTCAATTGTTGGTCTGAGACTTTCTTTTTCTTTTTTGCACTTCTTTATCAATTTTACGAAGTGTTTCGAAGAATCTGAAGAGAAAAATTGCAAACTATGAACAGTAGAAAGTGAGGTCATCTGTGTACCCTACAAATTGATGTAGAAGCAAACATCATAAATCTTTAAACTAATGATTACCGGAAAGACGTCTGGCATTAGTCGACATTTGGAAGATGGACAAATAGGATCGTTCGATTTCTTGTTGGAAGAAATGTCCAAGCTTGATGCGAAGTTGGATTAGAATCTGACGGTGGTCCTCTTCACTGAGACAAAATTTCCTCAAACATCTTAATGCAAATGCACGCTTTTCATAGACAGATCGGGCTCGGCATAATTTTTGTCGAAAAATCCTGTGCTCCCAATTCAATCTCAGGAGCGAAGGCCCATCGAAAATGGCGACAGTGTCAGGAACCTGACCGATAACATGAAGTTCAGCGAGAACCAGAACATATTCTTCTGTCTCCGTCACGTCCGCACGAATGTTAGCCATTGACTAAGCTAGAAGAAGCGGTAACAAAACTTTACTAAATAGTCTTAACAGTTCTTTCAGAAAAGGGGGAGATCAAACTAAAAACGGAATTAAACTAGAGGCCTTGGTTAATCTTCCAGCACTAACCTCATCAGCCGTTCAAAACATTTACTTTATTATCCTCCTTTCTATTTTAATTTTACATCCATTTATGAACTAGGCTAAAAGCTTGCTGCTAAATCCAGGTATTTAAATTTATTTGAATATACATATTACATAAATAACCATGCGAACAAAGTTAGGCATTTAGTGAACGTGGTAGTCTTGAGAACAATATCAAGTAAAGAATTTTTTTCAGCAACGGGCTTCAGGTTACATTTCAAATAACTAATAAAAAGCTTTGGAACAAGGTTTAAAAAACGAATTTACCGCGAGCAATTTCTTGAATTTCATTTTTCCACTGTTTGAAGTCAATCTGGTTTTCACTGCAAATTTTATTTAGTTCCACCTGCAGGGTTTTCAGTGATTTTCTTGTCTGAAACATGGAAAGTATGGTTACTGCAAAATTGTAAAATCGTAAAAATAGCATGCTCGGGAGCGGAGACTATTCTTCTTAGTTTTGAAATATAACAAATACATGGGCAATACCTTCCTGTATGATATAATTAAAAGTAATGACAGCAAATCCATTAATGTTTTTCTCAAATGAAACGTGACAATTCTAAATACAGATTACCCTGACATATCTTTGCGCTAATTGTTGTGGCATCTTCTCGATTTTTCTTCTGTTCCATGACTCAGCACATTCAGTCAGTAATTCATCTCGATCTGTAATTGATATGATGTCACAAAAAATCAACAGCAAAAAATTAGGGTTACATTTTCATTGTTCAATTTATTCTACAAATGAAATAATAACAAAAACTTCTAGATAAAACTTTGCATTTTTAGTGCTTTCAGGATCTGTAAGTCAATCGCACCTGTCAGGATTCGAACCTGAATCGTTTCTCTAGAGAGAAAGATGTTACCGTTACACCACAGGCGTTTTTACATTGACAGCCAGATCCATTAGCCATTAAAACATTTTTAGCTAATGTTCCTGCTATTGTCCACACACAATAAATTGTGGTAGAAAATTCACATAAATATCGAATAACTGCATACACATAAACTTACTTGATGGGAGCATCCGCTTTGTTATATGTGCTGCTTTGGACAGGTAACTGTTAACCTGCTCAACTTCCTCCCCATTTGCCAGGGCTGTCCCTTCCACCCATCTTCCACCATAAATTACCTAAGAATATCCAGCATCTTAATAAATCTGTTTATTAAGATTTCTTGAATGAGTTTTGTCTGAGACACAGTATGGGCAGAAAATTATTTTCCATTGCTTACTCGTGAAATGCAAATGAAGGAGCTTTAGTACAAAAACTAAACAAAAGTATATACAGATAATAAAGAGAGTTACAGCATTAGTGTAGTGGGATTTTAAAACATTTCAAAGGGATTTTCTTGATAAGGAAGCATACCTCACAATGCCATGCATGTCCTTTTCCATGCATTACAGAAAGTGCTGGTATCATTGCTTTTGATAATTGTGCATTCACTTTCTCTAGCCATGGCCAATATTTGCAAATAACATCTTGCCAAAAATATGTGACCACATTTGGTTTCACGAACTGTTGCTGGAGCAGAAGAGGATATGCATAGATTTCCCCACGATACATGTTCAGTGCCTTATTCAAGAAGTTCATGTTCAGTAATTTGGTGTCTACAGCTACTGAGATAAAGGCCAGTTTCATCGAGCTGTGCGACATTTGATGCAGCTTCCCACAAACTGTTTCCACAAATGTTGTCTCTTGTAGAAGGCTTGAGGGAAAAAATGTTCTAAACCTTTTACTGAAGGATAAAAATTTGGAAAAGGAATCTAAAGACAGATAAAATAATCAAAATTGCATATAGAAATAGAAAAATTGATGATACAGAGATAGAAATTATTGCTAAATACTACCAAAATGACTGGAAAAATGAATCATTGTATCATAAAATAATAAGCCTTTAAAATACTCTAAATGATATCACTATAATTTTGCTCAATTAAGTCGAGAATTCGATCAATTGACACAAAAATCACTTACATGGTTTGTACTTCCTAAAGATTTAACGTGAGCCTCCACATCTTTCTTTCGCATTATGTAATGGCCATAGTAGCTTTCTGACAAATCACTGGAATAAATTTACAAGAAATTTGTCTGTTTATCAGCAAAAAAAGGCTCTTTTTGTAAACTGGCAATCCAAGGAACATAATATTTTCATTATGATAAATTCAAGTAGTTTCGTACCTTTCTCCCTTCCTAAATCTCTTCAACTTACTATCGCCATCAACATGAACAGAATGCTGATTCTCATGACATGGAGGACAAACCATCCAATTTTTCATTTGCAATACATCCAATTCATGCTGGCAATACTTCCATTCTTTAAGCTTTAGAGAATGTTGACTGGTTGAAAAAGGAACTCTTGAAAAGAAGGTTTGATGTTATCAAATGATGGATTGATAATATGTACTGTAAGTGTTTTCTTTTAGAGTAATGAAGCTCAAAATACAATTTTAAAATGATTTCAGAGTAAAACAGCAAGATTCAAAACTTGGCGCAATCAAAGGTTAAATGGAACAAATCATATCATATATATCAGTGAAAATTAGCATTGGATGAAAAACAGTATACCCTGCCATTACCATCTGAAATCCCTTCAAGCACATGAATGAAACAAGATTCAGATGAATTTGGTTGCAGTTTCTGCAAAGAATTCCAAAACTCGAACACATCAAGGTGAACAATTGAGGTTACATTCTCAACTGAACACGGCCAATAACCATTTTCAATCACAGTTCTTGCATTTAAAGTACTGTTACAGTGTCCACAATTCTGGCATACAACTTGTGGAACAGAGAAGTCGTAGCGGCATACAGAAAACCAGACAAAATGTGATTCAATAACTTTTTTAATAATGGTAATTTTCAACTTTATGTCATATTGATCTGTCAATAAATGAAGAAAAAGAGCCTTGCTCAGATAAGCTGCTTTTGGGACTTTTAGGTGAGGGATAAAGAAACAATTTTTTTATTGAATTTTGCTATGTAACAATTTGGGAGTGACGTGAAACTGTTTGATGGTTTTTGTTTATAATGAACCTCAAAGCTTAAAATCAAGGGAGATGCCAATCTACTTCCTATAAGTTGAATAATGTACAAAGACTTGAATACTAACCCTTCATTGTCAAGACATTGCAACTAGATAGCACGCGACTGTCAAATTCAAGTGATGAGCTGCGAATTGCTATCTTACAGCTGCTACATTTCCTTGGCTTGAGGTATAAAAAACTTTCTGTGAAAAGGATCAGAGCCATGTCACATTGATATAAATGAATTTGGCATAAACTGGGTGCAAACTAAAAGTGTGGTAGCACAAACTAAAATCTGCAGAAATTTAATTCAACAACTAAATCAATCCATAGAAAAAACTGATAATCAGTTTCTGAAAATTCAAATATTTCAGTAACTTGAAGTAGATATTTCAGTAATATATTATTTTAGTAGTTTACAATTTGCAACTCTTTTTGTAACATTTTATAGAAAATACTTTATTGAGAAATAACTTGTTTTATATCAAAGTGAATTCAAAACCTTTGGTCATAATCGCATCCCCCTTTGTAAGCACATGTTTTTCTGGAGAGAATGCTTTGAAAAAACCCGCCACAAAGCTTTTGCGATTATGGAATGGTTGGACAGAATGAACTTCATCATCACATGTCTCGCATAAGCAGTAGCCCCAGCTTTTGCAATCAGTGCATGACAAAACTGGCTCTGCCACACAGCACACTTCACAGAATGACGAAGACGGTGTTTCGCATTCCAGCACAACCTCCATTAATTGCTCCCTTTGGCCAGACCAGCTATCATTGAGCAGTTCCATTCGATCTCTCCATGATCTCTGTTTTGCTTCTGATGTGTCGGAGGAAATTAACTCTTTACATTCTGCAATCAACTTGGCTAATTCTAAAATGTTGAAGGAATATTAAAGCAATTAGTAGTTTACATATGTCCAAAAATATGATAGAAAAAAGACAGAAAGGGATGTCAATTAAACAGGATTATCAAGAATATTTTGTGTATTCATTGGAAGAGGTTAATGGTGTTTTAAAATTATGGGATTCAATTGCAAAGCACAAATTGACCTGAACTAAAAAACACTTTTTGATCAGCTGTTTTATGAAACAGGAATATATACCATGCTCATGTTGATCATCATCTTCGATTTCATTTGATGGAACATAATTATCCTCATCTGCACCTGCAAAAGGTAGAGAAGCCAATGCACATAATTGCAAATGGTGTAGTATTTTCATACATGATGTATACCTGAAACCTTTCTACTTCCAATTGCAAAACCCTTTTCACTTTGGCAAGCAAAAGACACAATCTACAAACAAGTGAACGGTTTAGCTAGGATCGTAGGGTGTATAGACCTATTATACCACCATCATCATCGGAACAGTTATCATTCGCCAAGCTTTCCTCTTCCCTAGCACCTCCAACATTCTTTTGTCTACTCTTTTTCCCCTTCCGTAGCTCATACCATTCGCGCTGTTTCCTATTGTAGTCTTTTCTTTTCGAATCTCTTTCGTGAAATCCAAACACCGCGGTTGGCTTTCTTGAAGCAGACTGAATCTGATGTCCTTTCCCCCGCTTCCGTGCCTTGCATTCACTTCTTAGTTCGAGAAGGGAGTTCGAAAGCTGGCTTGTGAGCCTTTGATATTTGCTCTCCAACCGACGTAACTTAACATCAGCTTCACTGGCAGAAGAACAGGGACCACCAGGACTATCTTTCTTCCCACATCTCTCCGCCATTACTTGATTATGGCATCACATCGTGTGCGCAAATATTTATGCGCATTTGCAATAGCTGAAAAGGTCTTAACAACAACAGATATATCTTCCGTTTTTTGAACTACTTTGAAACAGAATATAGCTCTGTTTTTGATGCGAGAATGTACTGCTTTGAGCCAGGTTTGTGGTTATACGGCGCAACAACCGAAAGCTCAGTCACAGGACATTCATCATAAACTTTTTCCCGAATAAAATCCCTTGGCATTTTTAAGGTACTATTTTCCATTTTCTCGGCGTCTATGAATTTAAAAAAACTTTGTTCTCGATGCGACGATCTTTCTGCAAACTTTGTTGTGAACTAACTATTTGTGAACGCACCGCTATGGTGATTCCCGCCAAATATGCGCAGATCGAATGCGCACTTATTGACTTTGTCCTCATTCTTGTCCTTGTCTTCAATCTAAACCTCCCTAACGGTTGATCAAAGCCCAAAGGTAGATCAAAGTTTAGCAGCACATCAAACAGCAACATGCTATTGTTGTGAATTATTCGGACCATGCAGGGGTTTTGATGTATGTGATGAAGTAAGACACGGCTGTCTTGAAAAGACCAAATCACCCAATGATTGCACTATTCTTCTTGCTACTCTTACCATGTAGTCTGTAGCTCACTTTGGAAAATGATCATGAAAGTGGTGCCAGGGTTAAAGGGTAACTGACACGCAAAAATAAGTTTGGCTTAAACGATAATTTGTGACAAGCAAATTCTAGGATGAAATAAAATTTAAACCACATTTACTGTTTTTGAAAAACAGGTGTTTTAAGTGAGACTCAAGACGAAAATTGTTACAATTGGGCGATCATCTTTGACGTCACAAGTGACATGTTCTCAGCACATATTATGTTTCCTTATAGAAATCTTTGAGAGAAAAACTGCTAGAGAGTGAGGTAAGTTTACTCCTTTCAAGCTTGATAATTCTATTCTAGATTTTGTAGAAATACAGCAATGTTTATTAGTTTATTCAAGTAAAATTAGAATTTGTCGGTTCTTCTATCGCAAGGATGTAGCGTTGTAGGCCAAAAGGGTCATTATCCTCCCTATAAATCTATACTATCCAATCTCATTGCAAAACATTGCAAATTTGATTTTCTTTGACTTAAATTTTGATTTTACTTGAAGGAAGAGGTTATGCAAAAGGTAGAGGTTGTGAGTGCTGAGGAATCAGATGATGAGCCGGATTCACACACAGGCCAAGTGCTACAGAGGGAGACCAATGAAAAACTTTTAGAAATACCAAAGAGTAGCTTTTATGGTTCCAAAAATGAGAGTAGCTTCGCTGTATTGCAGTCAGCAAGAACAAAGAATGTTATCAAAAAAAGGCAGTACAAAAAAAAAGTGTGCAAAAGGAAAGCAAAAACAAACAGTAACAAAAAGAGCAGATAAGAACAAAGAACTGAAGAAAAAAGCTGATGGTGACTCTTCCTAGCAGGAAGTAACTGGGACGTTTGTCAACCCGAACCAATTTGAACCATTTTTGGAGTATAGCGGGCTGAGCAGAAAAGCTTTGAGTGCAAAATCCCCTTTGGATTTTTCCTTCTTATTCTTTTCCTATGAAATGTTCAAAAATATAGCCGAGCAAACAAATCTCTACCAAGTACAATTGACAACTTTGAAACCTTCACCAATGAAATGGACGGCAACAACTGCTGAAGAGATAATGCCATTCATTGGTGTGAATATTGCTATGGGAATTGCTAACCTCCCAGAAATGGATGACTACTGGTCAAAAGGAAGTCTTTTTTATATGCCATGGTTTGCTGGTATTTTTACAAGAAACCGTTTCAAACAACTTTTGCGTTATCTTCATCTTGTAGATAACTCTAAAGATCTGCCCTGGAATGATCCAAACAGAGATAGGCTTTTCAAACTTGTAAATATTGTGCCCAGCCTGAATAAATCTTTTCAGGAAATGTACTGTCCTTCCCAGAATCTAAGCTTAGATCAACAAATGATTGGCACAAAGTCAAGAATTGGATTCTTGCAATATATGCCAAAAAAGCCTAAAAAGTTTGGGATTAAATTATGGGCACTATGCGAGGCAATGACGGGCTATTGTCTTCAGTTTCAAGTGTATGCTGGCAAGACTGATGGCACAGCAGAGCATGGACTTGTGCAAAGGGTTGTTTTCGATTTGATGGGATGTTATCTTGACAAAGGTTTTCATCTTTTCTTTGACAATTTCTATACAAGTCTCAAACTTTTGAAAGATCTATTATATAGAAAAACCTATTGCTGCGGAACAATACGAACAAACAGAGGTGAATTTCCCAGTAAATTGAAAAATGATAAGTTAGAGAAAAGCTCCACTGTCTATTTGCAAAACTCACTCACGCTCCTACACGATTTTTCCTCGCATCACTGTCACAAGGGCTAGAGAGCAGGGAGCAGAAGACGGAGAGGAGGAGGCTTCCAGCCCTCTAGCGCCTGTGACAGTGGTACAAATTAAAAGTCACATAGGAGTGCGAGTGATTTTTTCTCTGCAGCAGTGCGAATGTTTTTTGCAAGTTTTTTCGAAGGAGAATAGGGATGAAAATATGAATTTTTTTCTTAGGTGGCTTTGTATGGGGTATATGGTTATTTGTATAATCATTAGGTGGATTAGTTATAAGGGATAGGCAGGGAATATTATTTGTGTAGTGCATATTATTTGTTGCAAGTTTGGGTAGTTAGTGGAAATTGAGTAAAGTTATGGGACTTTAATGGGGGGAGCAATTTGGAACATTATGAATGAAGAAAGGCTTTTATTTAGGAAAGGGGGTTTCTCTTTTATGAATTATTATAATTGTTGGCAGCTTGATAGTGCTTTGGTTTGTATGGGCAACTGTTGCATTATTGTAGGGCTTCATTTTTTAAATTGAATTCAACCAGTGTTTTTGGCCATGAACATCGTTTTTCTTTGATGATGGTTGATTTCAGCGCTCAGAGAGAAATAATTTTCCATTGAATTGTTGTTATTTCTAGTTAGAAAATGTAAGATAATAATCGGAAATTTGCAATACTACAAGGAAGCCTTTGCCGCGTGCATTAGTGAGAAACCCCAAACACCACGTCAAGAAGCACCCTTCGTTTGGGGTTTCCTTTTTGTGTGTAAAGTTAAATTGGCAGCTTTGTAAATAGTTGTTGTCAAGAAATAGGTAAGTAGTTGTTGTTGATAAAAGTTGTTTTTGTAGAGAGTGTGAATTCGTATCGATATAATATAAGCTGCTTGAGTTTCCACTGAGAAGGAATCACATGTTCCCATAGGCAATATCGGAGAACATGCAAAAGCGTAACTCATAGAAGAGAGGAATAAGTTGATTAATAAAGAGTAGATGGAAAAAAGCGAGGATGTATAATATATGGAAGAGTATGTGATGTGTGAGGCGAGGTTGTTATAGATTTATGTGTTATAGAGGCATGTGTGAAGTTGGAAAGAGTGTGGGGGATGGTGAGGTTAGGAAGCATTTTTAATGTAGAACTTCAGGGTAAACAATATTTTTTTCCCTGGGGCAGGAAGACTTTTATACCTGCAAATGATTTTGCTCTAGACATGGCAACGTAAAGCTGACCATGTGTGAAAACGGGTTCTGGAAGGTAAACGCCAACATACCTTCTTAAGGACTGTCCTTGTGCTTTGTTGATGGTAAGGCAGTATTCCAATCTCTCAGGAAATTGCAGCCTGGCAATGTCAATGGGTAGGGCGGTATCTTTAGACGACATTGTGATTCATGGGATCATGACATAAAGTCCCCAACTGAGGTGGCGTTGTAAATCGCAGATCATTCCACAGGGTTCCATTGCAAAGACTCTTCTTGGGATTGATGTTCCTCAGCAGGATGATTGTTGCACCAAGATTTGTCTTTGAAAAGAGAAGTGGGTATCAGTTATTAATGTAGTGCACGTGGTTAGTTTAGAAGAATGTTATATCAAAGAAAAAAAGAAAGGAAGTAGAGTAAATTGTGGTTTAGTGAGATTATGTTGGAAAAATAATTATGGAGTATAGAAAAAAGTTTCCTTATTAAAAAGAAGAGGTGTGACTACCTTCAGTTACAGTTGATGAAGTGGCATACCACTTGGTATTTGTGAGTTGAGGATTTCAATAGGATATGCTGCAGCCTTTTCGGGATCATCAGTTATCACTCTATCAGTACTGAGATAGGTCTGAGTGGATGCGTGTAGCCTGTCTAAAACAGATTGATTGATTCCATGAGAGGCGTCATTTGTGTGTGTTAGACAGCAACACTCAGACCTTGATTCTGGATTGGCCATTATGTCCGGCTGTCCAGGTGGCGGTGGTGGATAAAGAAAGTCAACAATCTGGTCAAGTGATTGTACTAACATGTATTCAGGGTTACGTGATTTGACCGTCTTCGTCCTGTGGTTCTTCTCCATTTCCAATTCTTATGAGCTAATCTGAAAATTGTCGGTATGTTTGGTCTTGGATGGCCCTCGTGTTTCTGAGGAGTTGGAATGTGCGGAAATGGCGCCACAGTGGTGAATTTTCATTGTTTCTTGCACAATTCGTTCTCTACGTGCTTTAAGAATGACTGGAAGGACCTGTCTAAAGTCGCCACCAAGAAAGATGAATTTCCCCCCAAAGGGTCTTTCGATTTGGGTAATGTCCCTGAGTAGGATGTCCACAACTTTCAAAGCGTTGCCTAGAATCATTGGGGCTTTGTCCCAGATAAACACAGTGGTGTGCAGTAGCTTTTGGGCCTTAAAACTTTGACGTTTCATGTTACAGGTTGAATCGGACAATAGAGGGATAGAAATTTGGAATGGAGAATGTGCTGTGCTTCCATTGATGAGTAATGTGCTTGCAATGCCGGAATAAGCGACACATTTCACGGTAATTCCTAATCCCTGGAGGTTATGAACAACTGTATTGTACAGGAAAGCTTTACCTGTTTCTGCTGGACCGTCAACAAAGAAGCAGTTGTTTTCAGACAGTGTGGATAGCTTGCATGATGTTGCCGTAGATGCAACGTTGTTCAGGGTTTAGGACCTGTGAAGATCTGTTGTCCAAGTTCTCTCTCTTGAGCAATGTCAATGTTTTCTTCATCTTGGTCTGGGCTCTGGAAGTTTTGTGGCAGTTGGTGCAAGTCAGAAAATTCTGGATCTGTGATAGATTCCCATGGACTTTTAATAGGGTGTTTATGTCCCAAAGGCACAGGTACATGTGTCTGTCCTGAAAGGCAATCTTAGGGTCATTGTGAAGGTGCCTGTCATGTCGGATGTAATCTTCACACATGGGCAGTTTGAATTGTTGAAAAAGAGCTGCGATGTCAGCCAGAGTCTGAAAGATGATGAGTTTTGCAAAGAGCTGTCTCATTTGTGGTGGCATGTTGATTGCTGCAGCTTTTTCTAGGCAATGTATAAGCTCACCATCATCGTCTTATATGCCCATGGCTTTAGCTGCATTCTTCAATGTGTCATGTAGCTCGCCATCAACTGTTCTCAGGTGTTCAAAGGATGTTGCACCTCGTTTATGAAGGAGAATATGGACTTAGTATAATCTGCCAATAATTCTATTTCGTTACCAGCCTATTTTGTTATGTAATTGTACGAGAGAGAGTGCCGCGCATGCGCCAACCAGTTGTGCCTGCCTTGCCGCCGCCAGACAACATGTTCGTTCCACTCATGGGTTTTTCTCCTCGGATTTCTGCAGCATATCTTACTGCCATCCACAGAGAAAGGCCCACCTATTTCTGCCCAGCTGGCAAAAATTATCGATGGAAAATTCGGCACAGAATTTGACCTGTCCAAACGTAAAGAAATTTTGGACAAATATCCCTCTCCTGAAAATTGCCAAACACTTTTTTCACCGAAGATAAATCCGGAGATCTTGGGAAATTAAACCCTAACTCTAAACGGAATGACATAAAATCATCTGTTTTGCAAGATGGTCTAATAAAGGCCTCATCAGCAGTCTCTGTTGCAGTAAGTGAACTCCTTTTTGCCAGAGAGCAAAAAACCACACCTGATTACAAGTCCTAATTGGTAAACTAATTGATTCAATTGTTTTAATTGGTCACGTAAACAGGGAACTCACTTTTAAACGAAGGGACTCCCTCAGACCCCATCTTAGTGCAGAATTTAAGCAAGTTTGTTCCAGGAATATTAAGCTTGGCAATTTTATTTTTGGGGATGATCTGCCTGAAACATTAAACCAAATGAGGGCTACTAACAGTAATGTTAGTAGCACTACCCCATTGATATCTTCAGGTTTTTCTGCCCCTCAAAGTTATGGCCCAAGAACAGCCTCATCCCAGTATCATCATGGTACAACACCTACTGCTCCACGTAACTCTTCTTTAGGGTATCGGGGGAGGCTGCCATACAACCCCCACCAATAATTTTCATAATTTTAAATAATAAATAATTTTCACAAGTTTGTCAGTACTTCCCTAATCCCCTATTTGCCATCTGAAGTTCAGTCCTTCAGTGCGGGACAACTAGCCAATTTTATTTCAGATTGGAATAAAGCAGCTGGAAGCAAACCCAAAATATGCCAACTACACAAGTTCAGCTGCTCAAAATGAAATGGTCCACTCAATTGCTGAGGTGCTGCAAAAGAAGATCATAGGAGAGATTAGATCTGCAGAAATATTTTCCATGCTGATAGACGAAACTCCGGATGCTTCAAAAAAAGAGCAAGTCAGCCTTATTTTTAGGTATGCTCTCGTTTCTCATGTTTATAGATGTTGCTTCACAATAATCACAATAAGTGTTGTCGACAATATAGATGTTGTCGCTTTTTGATGAAGTTTAAAGGCGGCACAAATCATTTGGTTTACATTTGAAAGATTTGAGAGGAATTGGAACAGACGGAGCCGCTAACATGCAAGGACAGATAAAGGGCTGAAAGCAAGGATTATCAGTGCCAACCCCTTTGTCAAAAGTGTACATTGTGCATGTCATGCCCTCAACCTCGTGCTTCTTCAGCCATTAAATAGAAATGTGAAGATCAAAGTCTTTTTTGCAAACCTGGAAGAGCTGTACAACTTTATCGAGACTAGTCTTAAGCGCAACGAGCACTTTCAGCAGGTCCAAAAAGAGCTTGGTTTCGACACCATCAGGACATTAAAACGCCACACACTCACGCATTGAGAGTCTCATAATCAAGTTGTTAAGGAGGGATGGAGACCTACCCAGCAATAATTGCCATGCTAGAAGATGTAGTAGACGTGGAAACTGAAACAGAAATTGTCAGTAGAGCAAGCGGACTTCTAAGCTTCTGTAAAAAATTTGAATTCACATTGATGACAATCATTTTCAAGGAAATTCTTCAGACAACAAACAACATAAATAAAGCTCTGCAGGCAAGTGACATTGATTCGGGTGAAGATTTTGACCTTATAGATTCAAGTTTTAAAACCCTCAGTGAAATGAGAAATGAACAGAAATTGGAAGAATTTTTAGAATGTGCAAGAAAGGTCGCTGTCAATGCCGGGGGCAAGTCTGACTTTCAAGAGAAAAGGCCTCAAAAGAGAAAGCGACATTTTGATCAAGTTTCCTCTGACGAAACAGCAAAAGACCCTGAGCAATCATTTAAGACCGATGTGTTCTACTACGCATTAGTTTTGATCAAGCAGTAAATGATTGACAGATTCAGTAGCCACAGGGACATCCTTCAGTCTTCCCAATGTTTGATGCCAGAACGTCTACTGAATCAGTCCCCCAGGGAGAACAGAGGTTGTTTGGAAGTCATTTTCCAGGAATATGGTCCTGATAACGGCTTTGGAGACATAAAGAAGGAAATATCCCGGGAATATTCTTTGATCCAAGCTAGATTCAAAGAAAGCAACGGCGTTGAAAATACCCATGAAGAAGCGCATTGCAATTTTGAAAAAAGGAGAAAAGTGTTTAAATCGAAGGAAATGATCTACCAGTGCACTTGTGCACTAGTGTTAAGCACGTTTTCAAGTTTTTGTACGTTTCAAAACTGTACAAAAATTTTCCAAATTTGTACAAGCTCTACCAAGTTTTTTTGACGAAACCGGTCACAAGTGCCGAGGCAGAAAGGTCTTTCTCGTAATTAAAGCTGATCAAATCTTACCAACTGACAACAATGAATCAGCAAAGAACATCCAACTTAGCTGTCATCTCCATTGAGCAACAGAGAGCAGTTGATTTAAGCCATGCTCTAGATATCTTCGCATCAATGAAGCACCGACGAAAAGGACTTTCTCTTTGATTGCTTCTCCAAATATAGTTTTATATTTTTGCCCTTGAAATTATTACATAAATCAGTCTTGTGATTAGCTTGAGTTCCCCACATTCTTTGATTTACTAATTTCTTGTGTTTCCAATGCAACCATGGGCTCAAATAATTTTGAATATCCTTTAATTTAAGCTGCATTTGTCAATAAA